CCGTGAGTGTTTTCCACCACAAACCCCATCCCTCCCGTTTTGCAACCCCATGGACAGGCGGTAGCAAGTTAACAAACTGTCACGCTGTGTGGCAGAAACCGCACCCAGTAGCAAAACGGGAGGGTTGTGTTTTGTGTCGTTACCGGTGGCTCCTCACCTGGGGCGCCACGTTGCTGAGGTAGAAGGTGTCCTGCATGGCCTTCTGGCTCCACCGGTGGTTGGCGGCGGCCGCCAGGTGGCCCCGGTCGAAGCCGCTGCCCCGGTAGTCGGCGTTGGTGGCCCGGTGATACTCGTGCACCGACTCGTCCTCCTGGAAGTCGCAGGCGGCGCGGTCGGAGGGGCCGCTCCGCGCCGCCCCGCGCAGCTGCTCCAGCACCCAGAGGGCGCTGCGGCTCCGCGGGTCGTAGCACAGCACGTAGGACTCGCGGCTCCGCAGCTGCGGCAGCCCCGGCAGCCCGTACTTGGCCAGCTCGCCGCGGGCCGCGCCCCCGGGCACCGGCGGGGAGAGGTCGGCGGCCGCCACCACCGGCACCACGGGCAGCCGGGTCAGCAACCCCGCCGCGGGCGGGCCGCCGCCCTGCCGCCTCCCGCCCCCCAGCCCCGCGCCCAGCCCCACCCCCACGGCCAAGGAGGCCCCGGCCACCAGCCACCGGCTGCCCCGGAGACGCTGCATGGCTGGGCCCCGCCGCCGCTGCTGCCTGCCGTGCGGCGACCTTCCCTCGTCCGGTCCCTTAAAGGGGCCGCCGCCAGAGCACGGAGCCGCAGCCGCCGGCTTGAGGGGAGCAGCTGCCTGCACGGCCGGGTGCAGGCCGGGGCTAGACTCGGTACCCGGCTGGGCCCCGTGCAAGGCCCCTGCCCGCTAAGGCCCCGGTGGGGCCAGCGGAAGCATCGCCCCCTTAAGAGTGACCGCGGGGCGGGAAGCTCCCGCGCTCCCTGCCGGGCTCATAAGGAACAATCCGAGCCACAAACTGCTCTCGCTCCCGTTTTGCTACCTTGGGTGTACTGAGCATGCTCACTCAAACTGAGCATGCCCAGTAATGAAAGGGGCCACTCTGGTCAGGAAGCAGATCGGGATTGTTTTTGACCACATACCCCATCCCTCCTGATTCGCAACCCCATGGACAGGCGGTAGCAAGTTAACAAACAGTTTCACAAACTGCCACGTTGCATGGCAGAAACCGCACCCAGTTGCAAAACGGGAGGGTTGCATTTCGTACTGCTACACCCACCCCCCGGCCCTACTGGCGCCTGGGACTCGGCATGAGCAGGGCTAAGATGCCGTCACAGGTATTGCTAGTGAAAGTCACGCGCAGGTCATGGGCAATAAACAACATTTCAGGGGGGGCCCATGACCTGTCCGGGCTGTGACTTTATTAAAAATAACGGGGGGCCGGGGAGGGTGACAGGCTGGGGACGGACAGGCTGAGCCTCCCCTGGCTCCAGCAGCCACAGTTGGGGCATGTAGTCCCACACTCCAGAGTTGGCCACAGCTGCGGGGCACAGAATTCCAGCTCCAAGCACACAGCCCCAGCTGCAGGGGGAGGATGGGGGGGTACATAGCTCTGGGAAGCTGCGAGGGGGACGCCTCCAGCCCTGGCTTCAGCCACTGACAGCTGAAGAAGGCACTGAGGCCCGGTAAAGTCACGGAATCCGTGACTAAGTCGTAGCCTTAGGTATAAGTCATTTCACAGCTGTGCCTCCCTTTACCCATTTGCAGTGGCTTGAGGGGGGAAAAAAAAAAATCAGTATTTAGTACAGTGGTTCAGAAGACCAAGTCCACACCTAGAGGCAGTAGTGAGGCAGCTATACAACTAGTACTAACAACCACACCTGTTCAAATGGAGATATAAAATAAATGGTGGATTCCTTAGATTAGCCTTCTCCTCTATTCCCATTCGGAATACACTTGGGCATGTTTCTCAAGTTCTTTTCTGCAAGTATAGAAAACTTCACTTCTTACAAGGAACCTAAGATGCATTACCTGTAGCTAGAGCTGGATGAGATCTGTTAGAGTCCATCTCCTCTCCGTCTCAGATCCTAAAGCATAAACAGACTACAACAGTTTCTTTTCCTACCTCAGTTTCTTCAGCCCACTTTCACACCATGAATAGCTTGACCCCCCCCCCCCAAACATTAGACAATTCTTTGTACCGACACTGTCAAAGGAGACTGTGGGAAAGAAAAAGATCATATCAGTATTTGCAAAGAAAAATATTTATTATGACAAATCAACAGAACAGCATTTATGAAAAAAAGAATTACAGACATTACAGATGGATAATTGTAGTTCACGGGAGAAGTTATAGAAATAAAAAGCAAAGGTAATAAACAGCAGGACCAGTTTTGTGTTGTAAAGGATCCACCTCCTAGCCTTCAATATGGCATTGTATATCAGGGATCTTTTGTTCCCTTCTTCAGTTAGAGGTACCAGCATGTTCCTTCCACTGGATTTGTGGCAACTGTCCTGGGGGTTCGGGGTGGGGAACAGAAAAACAGCTTTCGCTTCTACCTGTCCAGGCTTGTACAGTGATGCTTAGATCTGTACTGCAAAGTCAGTGACCCTCAGCAGCTAATATGGTCTAAGCAGGCCTTCCTGTTAGGAACATTTGTGCAGCCTCCGAAATATTGCCAAGCAACAGCTTTCTCTACAAATGCTTGTTCCCTGCTAAGCATGTTCCCTGTAGATAAATCAGAGGATACACTCTGGGCCTTGTGAATTCAAGTTTGGACCACCTCCTTTAACACACCACCACCACTCCCTATCCCACTAGATACCATCGTACTGCAGAAAGAGATAGAGGAAGGCTCAGAGTAACAAGCCAAATAGGATAATCTTGCTAAGAAAAAGAATAAAGCAGTGGTGGTGGGTAGATTTAGCTTATACATGCAGAACCCTGTGCTACTGACAGACTCCCAGAATACAGTGGACTGAGATTAGTTCTACTGACATCCAACTAGCACATGTTGTTTCGTCCCTCACAGTTACTATAGAAGAGGGCATTTAGAAATACTGTAATATATCACATGTAGCAGCTTTAACTCTGAGCACAGTCTGTGGCTAGGGGGAGTCTCATATTGTTATGGATAGCAGATAACAATCGATACAAAACCCTCTGTTTAGCTGAAGGGAACTTCATCAAAATCAATAGTGTTTAACAAAAGCACTTTAAACACTGGAAAAAGCATGACATACAGATGTGTTCTCCATACCTTTTTGGAGAGGTGTGTGTTGTTTTTTAAACAGCCAAAGGAAAAAAATTGAACTTGTATAAATCACCAGATTTGCCCTTTTGCAAAAGGGCATTTTAGAAAAAAGTTCTAAATGGCTAAAACATACAAAAAGTCACCAAATACTCAGTTAAAAGGAGCAACAGCCCTTGTACTCCTGAATACCACTGTGCTACCTATAGCAGCTTCTGACTTTCACTCCACCCATTGCTGAGCTGTAAATAATTCAAGCTTGGACCTCAAAACTCCAGCGACAAGTTAATCTAGCCAACAACACTTGCTTTGAAAAAAACAGTTCCACCTTTCCCTGACAAAGATGACCAACCTCAGGATTATACTCTTTGCTATCCCATTTCCTTTTTCCTCCCAGTTACCAAGGCTACAAGATTCCAGGGAGAGGGTATGAGGGCACAGGGTGCTGGCCTTCTCCCTTATGACCAATCCCCATCTCTTGAATCATCCAGCTTAGTTTCCTGCCTTTCCTCCTGATGGAGAAAAGCTTCAACCAAAGTGGCAATGATCCTGCTCTTGATGAGTTATTTGTATACAGTGAGCAGCTAATGAATTCAGTGATTAAGGTATTTAAATCTCCACTTGTGTATTTGGCTCCCCCCCCCACACACACACCCCAGCACTTCAAGAAAGAGCAACTATGCATTAAAATTCTTACAGCTGCTCCTGTCACAGAGAAGGCTATGGAGACATGAATCCCACCTCAGATTTCTCCTATCCCATAGGTCTGTGGCAGCCACTATATGCACAAAGATACCAGACAATGGGCTAGTTAATACTGTCCAGCTTTAAAATGATTTGAGGAATGAGGGTTAGGGTAACTAATCAGAAGGGCTGACAGTAGGTTCCCAGTTACATTTTTTCCTCCCAACTAATAGTGTTCGTTTGCTCCATAAAGCGGACAATAAGTCCCATACTACAATGAGTCAGCTGTTTTTATAACCTCAGAGTATCACTGGAAAAAATTAATGAGTCCTTTAAACAGCCTCCCTCCCTTCAAATATCAACACAGCAAACCCTTCACCGCCCACAGTTTTAAAAGAATAATAAGGGATATGGTTACTAATGAAGAGAGGCCTTTTCAAGTAGGAAACAAAGAAACAGCCTCACAAATTGTATCAGAATGTGTTACACATTCTCTAGTCTTGACTTTGGAACTACAATGGGAGCGCCCCTCATTCTCCTCCCCACATCTTCTATGCTGTCACACCTTTTGTTTCACTGTCAACTAGAGAACATCTCCTTCATTTACAGACGTTCAGCTCCAACTCACTAAGCCATCATAAATAAAACCTTCTAGCCCTATGATGTTCAAACAGGAGGAGACCCCCAAAAATGGAGTTTAATCAAAACGAGCAGCAAAAACTAAGGAGTCTGGGCTGACAGCCACAAGCTTCTTCTGAGGGAGACATCTAAGGTGCATCTCTGCCATTGGTTTTCTGCTGGGGTGCCATTTGTAACCCTTTACTGAAAGGTGAGGCTCTCCGTTCTCATCCTCAGTGACAGCCACCACTCCAATCCAGAGATTTCCATTTAGAACCACTCGTCCCTCCTTAAGATGAATGGACAGGATTTGTGTGGTGACTCTACAACACGGTCCTAAGCAGTGCATCCCAGCCAGCTGGGAGATTGAAGACAGCAGCAAGACCCAAAATCAAGTATCTCATACAGCAATGGAGAAGGCTACACAACTGAATCAGTTCCAGGCCTCTTCACTCATGTCTGTGGTGCTGTTCCTTAAACATCTGATCCAGCTCCCAACAGGAAGACTCGATTGATTTCAGCAGAATTTGGCTTTGGCCCTAAACCAGGTTACCATTTGATTTTTTTTAGTTCCCTTCTTTAAAAATGACGTGGTCAGGTTTAAAAGACATTTCCTTGACAACCATCTGAAATTTTTAACAGATCAACTCTTCACCACTCATGCCATTCACCTGCTTTCTTCACTTCCTTCAGAATGAATAAGCAGAGAGGATAGTCAAAGTCACTTTCAAGTTCTCATACACCAACAAAGTGCTGCAACATTTGAGTTGCAGACACAGCAGGGGAATATTTAAATCCAAAGAGGAAACTTAATAAATTCTCACTTCCCCTACAGTTGTAAAGGGTTTCTATTTAACACGTGCACTGAAAAACAATCTACCCACAAGTTTAACTTTTAGACCTAATTTATGATATCGCAAATGAATGTATTGTAAAGAAACCTACATAGCATTTCAGAGTGTATTAAAGATTTTTCTCTTCTGACTACCACCATTATTCATCTACTATTAAAAGAAACAAGTTACACTCCATGACTATCACCATATTGACGTGGAGGGGGGGGGGGGAATTCCTTTTAAGGCAAGTGTGATCCACACAGCCCAGGTACCATGAAACATTTCAAAAGACCATGTGTAAGCTTCAGATAAATAAATGATTGGGGCGGGGGAGGGGGTGGACTTTTAATGGAGGACATCTTGTGCAGTTCTGAAGCCAGAGCATTTTGGATAAGTTTTCCACTTTTGGGGTTCAATGCTACAGTCCTTATTCAGGCAAGCCTCAATGATTCCAGAGGGAGTTTTGCCGAAGGGCCTGATCATCCAGTTCGATGCCTGTGTGCAGCAATAGTCTTTACAATTACAAAAGGCTAGTTAGTACTGGCCTCTCTAGCACAGGGGAGCTCAGTAGATGGATCACATGTTCTCTTGGAACAGCCACTGCCCAACAGAGACAGTCATTAAAAGGCATGGGGAGCAGCCGTCGTTGCTCGTAAACTGTGAGAGCTATGGTATTCTCTCAACCGCCCCGTTTCTTATGGGAAAGAGTCTATCCCATAGGAAGGATTTCAGTAAAAGGGGAGGCCATCAACCACTTTGTTTAAAATTCCACCTCCACCTCCAAGCAGAAAGACTCTGCTGCATCCTTTTTACTGGCACATTTATTCTGGTTCACAGAAACTGCTACTCCGAAGCAGCACAGGAGTACGAGAGTAAAAATGTCAGGCACTATCAGAGCTGCTAGCAGCCCCAACACCAACATAAACTGTCCCTCTAGAAATTCACTAAGCTACACAGAACTTTGACCAGTCTTTAGGAGTTGGAACACAGCATGAACCTGACATCTGAAGGCTGACAACCCCCCAGTTATGGTACAATTATGGCTAGTCTGCTACTAGGTCTCATCAGCAGGGTGAGCAGACCTCTGAGAAAGCACAAAAATTGACCTCTAATAAAAGAGACATAATGCAAAACACTTAAATAAATACAGAACAGTCCCACATTAACAGCTATGCAGAGACGATCCAGCACTTCACTAACGGGGAGAGTAAAGCACCTCCTGTTAGCATTTGCTTGGGAGCTCTTGCAGCAGCTGGAATATTCAGCTACTCAAGTTTTTTCCATAGCCATCACCCTGACTCGAACTGTGGGTCAGGAGTTCCGATCATTCCAACACTACTTGCAGGCTACAGGTTACCCTATACTAATCTCAATTTATGCAGACCTGGCCGGATCCTTTGTATCTGAATGGAGTACATTAATAAATATCCCCCTCTGTATTACTGTCCCCACAGCACATGGCTCTCCCTCCTTTAGGAACTGCCCATAGGGAAGGGGATTCTCACAAGGGACCAGGTATTCCCACTGAATTGCTCCAGTAGATCACATCCAGAGATTGGCTTGATGTTAATCTGATCTGTGAGTTTGAGTCACTTCCCAGCAAAGAGTACCACAGGACAACATGAAGATTACGTGACTAGAGCTTATCCAGGTTTAGATAGAAGGCTTGGAGTGTTCTGGGTAATATTATTCAAAAACAGTTTAAGAGCAAAACCATTATTATCCCTATTAATAAGTCTCCTCTGAAGACACCTATGTTTGCAGCACAGGACTGGAGGCCTTTCCCTTGTACTTCATGAGCCTGCTTGAAGTTAGATATCTGCCTTTGAATTAGGGTGAAGCATGATCCATAGAAGCGGCACTGAACACAGCTCAAGACGAGCAGTCTCAGCAGCAGCAGGGACCCTGCTCTAAGGCTGTAACATAAGGCTTGTTTGACTTATTTGAACTACACTGATTAAAACCACAAATCTAGTTCCAACTTCCAAGTAAACTCAGCACCAAGGAGACAACTCCTTGATAAGGCAATCCTGGGGCAGACTCTACTGGAGAGCAAATAATCTCACTGCACAAAGCAGCCAGCGGCAATAGCATTCTCCCATCCCAGCTTTTTAAAGTCTCTTTCCCATGGAAGAGACTCTGCTGTTTTGAATCCACATCTGCCACTCACCAGGAGGAAACTGGACTTTTTTTGTGCACCCAAAAGAGATGGTAAGATGCAGACAGAAAGGAACAAAATCCAGCAGCTACTCAAACCAGCCGGATGCAGGACGTCAAAGTGACATGTTGTATTTACATGGAGACGTTCTTCTCTCTATACTCACCGAAATCCCACTGGTCCCAGCCTGTCCCTTCCCCTAATGCAGAAGTTCCTGTGCATGAGCACATGCTTCCATAATGCTATGATCACAAAAGTTCATTTCATAAGACTTAGAGATATGTAGCTAAACAATTTCCATCTTCCCAAACTTAGTCATTAAAAAAATACAAAGCACTGTTCAGGCAGTGTGGAGTTGTTTGAGATTAGGAAAACCCGGAGTGCAGGACCTGACTAGCTGGGGAAATAGGCAGTCCTTGACCTAATAGAGTAGAAGGAAGTCTTCAAGAAGGCCAATTACTGGAACACAAAACCAAATGCCCAGCAGAGATTGTAGGAGCTCTGACGACGCACCACATATAGGAAGGAGTCTCCTAGGATACACTACTGCACAGTTTCTCTCACGCACACTGCCAGGCCTATGGACTATTTGGAGTCCTGAAGCTCCTTCGCTTTCTTCAGAATCAGGCGTACATCAGAGATGGGATAATCCTGCATTAAAAAGGGATTGATTTATTTTCTTAATGTTCGTTGCACCTATTCTCCCTTTTAACAGGGCAAAGACTCTCTGCAATGTCATTGGCCAGCCCAATGGATGCCCTGGTGTTTATAAATTAGATGTTACCTCCATAGTTAAAGTCACCTGGAGTAAACAATTTCCTTCTATGTTTTGTAACTGATCAGTCTTGTACAACCTACAGGACATTAGATTATTTTGGTAGTCCTGAATGTGGGGTTAAGTTGGCTTTATGCAATGACTAGCTCCATTATGGAAGTCTGTATTAAGGATGCAAGGATCCAAAATAATATTTTATTGTATGTAATACATTAGAATTCTCTTAATCAGGACCCCTCCAACACATGGCCTTTCATCCTCTTTTGAGGGACTCCTAATTAAGAGACAACATTTTAAAAGTAATGCTGCTCTCTGAGCAGCTGATGGGCCTAGCATGTTACTAGACTGACCAAGGAGTTAGGAGAAGGAATCCTCTATTCTGGGGCAGGGACTGAGCCTACTGCTAGTGGCAAGATGTCCAGCATTTATAACTGGAGTTGAAAGAGCAAATTAACAGCCAGGAACAGGTAGCCATACAGCCACTTTCTGCAAATCAGCTATGGAGGCAAAGGCTGCTGTTAGAGGAGCAAACAGTCAGAAGCAGCAGCAGACTGATCCCAAGAAGCCTAAACACCTGAAAGGCACAGCCAGTAAACAGAAGTATTGTTATTAAGAGTTATTGGCCAGGAGTGGCTTCACTGGATTTTCCAATTAAAGGAAGCATGCAGTAGAAGTTAATGCTTGATCTTATACCACACCATGAAGTTTCTTAAGTGTTTAGATTTTTCAAACAAATGGTTTCATTATGATCAGCAGAGGGTTGGTAACTATATTCCAGAAGGGCTGCCTGTATCATATCCAAGTATTGTACAAGAGGACAATCTCCTATTTAAAAGAGTTCTTCCATCTCCTCCCCATTCCTGATGTATTTTAGTACTTACTTGTAGCAGCCTCATGTTCAGAGTGAAGTCCCCTTCCAGTAATTGATCTCGGATTAGTCTGAAAGAGAGAGTATGTTAATCCAAGTACTTTTTGCCTCTTTAGTACCTTGTCCAAAAACATCCCAAAAGTCAGTCACTAAGGTGCGTACGGCTCACCACATGCCTCCCACCCTTCCTTAAGAGCCCTGTTTCTTTTGCCATTGTGGAAGGAATGGCTACATCCTTTCACCAGAGCCCCCTTCGCATGTCTCTTGCGTGCAAGAGAGACACCTATATCTGTGGATTCAAGCAGAGAATGGAGTGGAGGAACACACAGCCCATATTTACATTACCCAGCATAGGGGAGACTGAGCTTTAGGAAACAAGCTGTGAATTGTGGGGCAGGGGAGAGCACACTAGAGTCAACATCCTCAGCATCAGCTGTCACAGCACTCACGTCAACATGGCGCAACAGACAAGCAATAGAAAATCAAAGCGGTTGTCATCGGCAAAGAGAGAATCCCAGATACGGATGACGTCTGGCAACAGGAACTCTTGGGACAGCAGCAGCGTCAGCCAACGGAAGGCGAAGAACTGGGGCTTGATGTTCTGCTCTTGCTTTTGGATAGACAGAGTCAGTAATTAATTGCTTGTAGTGAACTGGAAAAGAAAGATGGATGTTCACTGCCTCCTTGGCATCCTCTTAGTAACCTGGTTATAGGCTAGTGTCCTGCAGTGCAATATGGAGAAGTCTGCCTGTTCCTACAGTTACACCTCTCTGTTTCAAAGTCTCTTGATAGCCTCATGCTATGAGATACTATGCCATGTCTCCTTTCAAAGCCTCTCCATAAAACCACCCCCTCAAATTACAGTGCTCTGAAGGACACCTCTCCATACACGTGTCTACGGCTCAGATAGCAGGAATCATGCCCAGGTTTCTAAGTCATGGAACGCAGGAACTGTTACTTTCATAAATTGCAATTCCGGCATTTAAGCTAATTCAATTTCATTTCTCCTTTAAAAAAAAAAAAAGCCCCACAGCCCTCATTTCTCCTAAGGGTTTAGATCAGAAGTACTTCCTCTCCTTTCAATGACTAAAAATCCCCTAGTGATTAGAAGGCTATTGGAAGGTTAGCATAAAAATCACACAGACCAGAGTTCTCCAGACACAGTTTATACTGGCAGCCAATAGACTGAAACTCAAAGCTTTTAGCTACTTGCTTAATTTGTGAAATATATGGACCACAGTAGAAAGATCAAGCCAGTTCAGTATTCAGATTACAGGTAGGGTCCTGTGTAGATACAAAATTTGGATCCGAATCGATCTGCGATCCGCAAACATGGTCCGCAGATATAAAGCAGATATCTGCAAGTTTGCAGGGCTCTACAGATGGGAGACTTCTACGGAACATCTATTGGGGGCCTGCAGGAAGTGGTGCTAGTGACTAAGTAGGTGACACTCTTCCCCCTGAACCAGCATGGTGGAGTGTGACAATGTGCTGACAGAAGACAGAGTACGACCACTTGAAGTCATTAAGATTTTTTTTTTTTTAAACACACACACACACACACACACACACACACACACACAAAGCTGAAGCCTAATATTCACCAGATTCCAACTCTCATAACTACATTCTGCCTCCCATAAGTTCTCCCTGCAGTTTCATTTAGAAACAATATTCTACACTTTCCTTCCTAAACTTGTGTTGCATTGTTGTACTGTTAGACAACTGCTGCATTCCATAAGACCTGCAACCGCCTCTATCCACCTCACAGGAGTGTTAGGAGGAGCTTGCAGAGAGTTTTGAGATCCTTGGAGGAAGGGAGCTACAGGAAGGAAACATTACATATACAGGATGGCATTACTATTACCAAGTTTTGATTTATCATTGAGCTGCCATAATTTTTCACTGTAATTTATGAAGTGAACGCTATTGGGACATATGACCGCAATGGAGGTAAAGTACAGGAATTTGTTCCCCCTGGGAAAAAAACTAATTCCAGGTTGAAAAGGAACTTTGCAAGAGCATGTGTGTTTGGCCTAACGACAAAAGCAGAGTCCAGAGACTCAAGAGATCTTGAGTTTCACCACTCCCAGCTAAGCCATTGACCCAGATGGCCAGAGACATTGGGCAAATCACCTCTTTCTGCCCCAGTTAGCAGCTTTAGAGTAAATAAGTTACAGATTTCCACCTCTAAAAAGAGGACAAAGTATTTGCTACATCAATATAACCTGGGCTAGATGCTCAATGTGGCAAGAGCAGTTTGTCCTGTAGATACTCAACCCTGCATCACTCTCAAGACAGCCTATCCCTGAGAACAAAAGCTCTTTAGTTGCATCAAACCACTTCTAAGCAGCCCTCACTGTACTACCTGGGCACTGTTACAAAATAAGACAGAGAGCAAGTTCTGTCTGGAAATAGGACAAAGATCCACCACCCATCTTATTCCTCGTTCCAATGAGGGGTGCAAGATGAATGTCTAACGCCTCACCAGTTTCAAGTACAGCTCCACATCCTTCTCCTTCAGGGTGGAGTAAACCTTCTCCATCTTGTAGGTGATGCCACACTGAGAATCATCCAGGCTCTTAATGAAGTTGTCCCGGATCTCAGCCATTAGGTTGGTGAAGCAGAAAAATGTATCTGCTTCTGCATGTTCTGAAAAAGACACATAGGAGCGATAACAGAAGTGCGGAAGGAAGCTGTTGCAACCTTGATAAGTTTCCCCTGCTAGACACTAACTAACCAGCCTGTGGTACTGGGTCCCACGTGTTCTTGGCTTGCTAGGACTGAGCAGGCACACACTCCATTACAGACCCCATGTCTAACACCTTTCTTAGCAGCATGGACCCTGCAGTCCAATTGCCTACCTCCTGAAAGCTAGAATCGGCTCTCTCAAGCCTTCCAGTACCTTGTCATGTGACCTTCCTGATCAGCCCCTCCATGTCCCCTCAGGTGATCTGTTGCTTGATTACTACCCACTGGAAAAACTGGTTTCTTACAGTTCAGCCAATCCCTATAGCTAACTCATTGTAAGGCCATAGTAAATGTTAATGAGTCTGCATGTTCCTTTAACAGCTTTCTAGGTAGGGTCTGTGAAGCACCTGAAAGTCCCCGTTAGGAAATGGCTGATCTGATGTACATGGAGCATAATGACAGTTCATAAAACCAGAATTCATACGTTTTCGACAGCCAGATTTCCCAAGCTGTCACAGAAGTGCATCCGAGAGGATTCCCGTATTTCCCAGGAAGCTCTTTTCAAGCACTCTCTCAGAACCACCCCCTTTCATCAGGGACCTGGTATGGGGAGAGCCTGCCAAGTCTCCTCCACAGCTGCTCTGATAACCATTCCTTGCAACAACTGCTGCCAGGAATGGTGTAAGTCACTCAGGCACTCTAACTGCTTACCTTTCCAGTCACTGTTGGGATCTGTAGCAAAGGTATAGTAAAGAGGCCCCACTATTTCATTCATCCCCTGGACATATGCGATCCCAGGATTCAGCTTGGCGTAGATGAACAGGATTCGTTCTACCACTTCCCAGTGAGCTTCGCAACCATTAGGCAGAACTTCATACTCACTCAATGAATTCGGAGCAGATGTTTTAAGAGGGGAACTCACCTGAAGGGTAAGGTAAACACATAAGAAAAATTATTCTGGGGACCCAATTTGTATAGGCAATAAGTTTTCCATGGAGCAGGAATTTAACTTCAGGCACTCTGCGCCCCCAGATAACAGCAAATGCCCTTTCCAGGCAGTAATTAATCCTTAAATCCAGACGGTGGCCCAGTCAGTTGTAAGACTTACTGCCATAAAATACAAAGGAAGCCAGGCTGGCAAGTCTTTTCCAAGAACAAATAAGCTAATTCAGCAGTGGACACCTACCCTGAATCAAAAACACAAGCTCAATGTCCATGTAAGAGAAGACTGCTACATTAGAGAGGCAGGAAGAGAAGTGATCTGTCACATTAGCAAGGTATTCATCAGTCACTAGTGCTATTGTATCTGTTCTAGAATGATGCTGGGAAGTGCAGCATCCATGTAGGGAAAGCAGCGCAAGGCAGGTATGAGCATGGGTGATGGGGCAACAAAATGGCAGATGAAAGTCAATGTTAATAAATGCAAAGTAATGCATATTTGGAAAAAATAATAACCCCAACTATATCTATATCTATACACACACACACACACACACACAATGATGGATTCTAAATTAGCTGTGTCCACCCAAGAAAGATCTTGGGAGTTACTGCAATTAGTTCTCTGAAAGCTTCCCCTCGACACACAGCAGTGGTCAAAAAGGCTAACAATATTTTAGGAACTATTAGGAAAAGGATAGAAAGAGACAGAAAATATCATAATGACACTATAAATCCATTATGTGCCATACCTTGAATACTGTCTCCAGTTCTGTTTGCCCCATCTCAGAAAGGATATAGTGGAATTGCAAAAGGTACAAAGGGCAACAAAGATGATCAAGGGTATAAATTGAGTTCCATACAAGGACAGACTAAAAACATTAGAGCTGTTCAGCTTAAAACAAAAAACAAAAGCTATAAATGGAGATGATCGAGGTCTATAAAAATCACAAATAGTATGGAAAAAATGAATAGAGAAGTGTTATTTACCCTTCCCCACAATACAAAAACCAGGGGTCATCAAATTAAATGAACAGGCAGAAGATTTAATACAAACAAGAAGTAATACTTTCCACACAACTAACTGGGGATGTTGTCCTGCCCAAAAGCATAAACGGGTTAAAAAAAAGAACTGGACAAGTTCAGGGAGGATAAGTCCATCAGTGGCTGTTAGCCAAGATAGTCAGGGATGCAACCCCATGCTCAGAGTGACCCTAAACCTCCGACTACTAGAAGCCGGGAGTAGAAGACAGGAGTGGCTCACTCCATAATTGCCCTGTTCTGTACACTCCCTCTGAACCTCTGGTATGGGCCACTGTCAGAGACAGGATATTGGGAAAGATGGACTATGGTTTGACCCAATCTGGCTGCTCTTATGTTCTTATGAGTGATGTTTGCACTCAGAAGAGAATAAGGGAGATAAATGGCAGCTGACTACAATGCTGTCTCAAGTATATGCATCGTATCAGCTTGTTACATCTCAGGCTCTGGGAGACTAGATCAATTTGTCCTCTGTTATTAAACCCTCTGGTCCCTTAGAGCCTATCCAGGGAAACACATAAATCAGAGGCAAGAGCTGTGAACACTTCCCCTGGAGCACAGTGAACTCAACAGAAAAGATTCTGTTCCAACAGAAGCCAGAACAAAAACCAATTCAAGAGAAAGCAGCACATCGACCTTCAATTCCCTTTGTGTTGTCAAACATGCCGAACAGCACAGTACAGAAGAACCAATGTAATCAATAAAAAGAGAAATAAAACCTGTTGGGTGAGCAAGAAATTTCAGGAGCTCAACACACAGAGAAAGGAGAATTCCTTTCCACCTAGAGAACAGTTCAAGTTCTCCATGTCTCAGTGACACCCTTCCTTGCCTGGAACTGTATGCTATCCATGTGTACTCTTCCTTGTGAGTGAATATGGGGGACTCATCTAGGGTCACTGTTGAGCTTGTGACATTTGTTGCAGTTACAGACAGGACCAACTTGACGTGTAACTGTTAGCACCCTGTCCACAAACCAGGGTGATTTTAGCCTCTCTCTGCAGGTAGGAAGTGAGAGAGACTTGAAGCTGTAGAACTTTATCAAAAAAGTGTTCTTCAGTCAAGCCCATCCCTCTGGAGAAAGGGGAGAAGCAACACCCTCCGGCAGGAATACAAGAACCCACACCATATGTGGAGGTGGCGTAAGGAAGAACTGCAGAGTATCTTTAACAAGCTAGCCTGGCAACCATCTTGGCAAGTGTGCCACAGAAGTGCACGCACCTTCCCCCAACACAACATGCTCATCCCACATCCCAGAAGCACAGGGAAAGCTCCTTGCCAGATCTTACATTTGTGACTCCACTCCGATTTCGTGCCACTGTCTGTGACTTGAGTGTCGTCTGTTCCACCCGCTTGCGGAGAGTCTCAAACTCATTCTGGGGGTCCAGGATTAGCAAGCAAGGGTAGTCAGTTGGGCGCTGGAAGAATGCCATATCAGGGTACAGCCTCCTGGGGTGGAAAAAAATGGAAACCAAATTAAATGGGATCTTTAGATGCAGAGGGGTGCCATGTGAAACAGAAGGGGCTTGATAACATGAAATATTCTGTATTCCTGATGCAGCGAGTACGTAAACTGCACTGTTATTCCTCCCCTCTAGAGAGACCAGATATTTACACACACCTGACATCCTTGTCTATCTGCAGCAGCACTTCGTTGTCCTTGAAGTAAGTGTTCCATCGGCTGTCTGGGTTCGGATTGAGTGGCTGCACAAAAAGACATCACATAAAACATGGTAAGTTCATCTTTTACTGACAAACGAGCCTGTCACTGCTGAAAACTGAGGTGAGGCCTTTTGGCTCTGCCTACACTGATCAGGAAAATTGTGCTATTGCCTTTCTAGCGAGAGCCATGTTTAAAGCCTGATTTGCTAGACAGATGGGAGTGCTTTCTCTGGGCAGCTGACACTTTATGGGCACTGGCCCACCTCAAATGAGTCAGCACACATCTGGTAGGCCAGTGAAGACTATGTGGTTACTTTCAACCACTGCAGAGCAGTATGAGCAGACTCTCGCAAATCCATTCTCATCTGTCTTAGTGGATTCGCTGCTGCAGTCAGGCTTCACTAACCTGTGTTAACAGGAATTCTGGTTACAGCCCCAATCAGTGTGAGGGAGATTTTCCATATTAACCGCTACAAGAGGTACTGTCACTGTATATGTGCACTGCATAGTTAACACAGTGATAACAGTGTAATGATTATCTGAACTCCGAGAAGCCTGACGAAACATTACCAGCTTGGGTGGAATAGTGCAAAGTTTAGCTGATGCAAGTTTACCCAAGACCAGGGAAGTGTGGAATAGACTAAGCATAGGAAATCACAACATACACATAAGACAAGCTCAGATACAGGACTTTCCAAAACTGTTCTAATGGAATGTAATACTCATCTGAAAGGCATTTGAGTGATGGGAAAAAAATATCACACACAAAAAAAAGCAAACATTCCAAGAACGTCAAAGGTCACAGTAACAAATAATGACAGGTTTCAGAGTAGCAGCCGTGTTAGTCTGTATCCGCAAAAACAACAGGAGTACTTGTGGCACCTTAGAGACTAACAAATTTGTTAGTCTCTAAGGTGCCACAAGTACTCCTGTTCTAGTAACAAATAAGTTAAAGCTCAGAGTGTCACAGACATGGCAGGCCAGGGTTCCCAAACTAGGGGCGCGGCTTGTTCAGGGTAAGCCCCTGGCGGGCTGGGTCAGTTTGTTTACCTGCCGCGTCTGCAGGTTCGTCCGATCGCAGCTCCCAGTGGTTGCGGTTCACCGCTCCAGGCCAATGGGGGCTGCGGGAAGCGGTGGCCAGCACATCCCTCGGCCTGCACCGCTTCCTGCAGCTCCCGTTGGCTGAGAACAGCGAACCGCGGCCACTGGGAGCTGCGATCGGATGAACCTGCAGACGCGGCAGGTAAACAAACCGGCCTAGCCCGCCGGAGCTTACCCTGAACAAGCCGCACCCCTAGTTTGGGAACCATTGTGCCAGGCACAGTATGAACCCTTCCAAAGATCAAACTGACACAGATGACTGGCTACTAACAGGAGAGGCTGGGGTAGGAGAAGAGGTGTGTGAGCAGTTACCCCACTTTGCACTTTCCTCTGACCACTTTAAAAAAAAAAAAAATCCTTCAGTGTAATAACCCTTTTCATAAGTGGCTCTCAAAGCACTTTTCCAAGGGGATTACTGTTAATCCAATTTTACAGAGGGGAAACTGAGGAACAGAGAGACGACGTGACCACCAGAGTCACACAGCAAATCAGTGGCAGAGCTGGGAATAAAAGTCTTCTGATTCCCAATTGGCTAGTAGTCTAACCACTAGCCAATGCTGCTTCTCTTATACTCTGGTTTCAGACTGGCCCATTTTGCCTTCTATCCATGGAGAGGATTTCACAGGTTAAATGGAGAGATTCATTTTGCTAGCAGCTCCATGCTGTGACCTCCCTCCATTGAGCCTTTAATCGTATTGATCCTTTATTCCCATTTGAAGTCTATTGCATGGACAAGCATCTCATTGAGGATGGTAGTGGGAAAGGGAAAAAGGAAAGGATAAGTTACCCTAGGACAGTATTTTACAGCTTTTTTCAGTCTGGAAGTCACTGAGCCAGACACCGTCATAAGGGTTCAGCGCCCCATTCCTAGGTTCTCAAAATATTTTATTCTATTAAGCCAGCAGGAAGGATCACCAAGGATCACCCCAAGATCAGTTTGAAACTTACAAGAACTCCCCTCCGCATGAAGACCAAACTATACTTACGTGGTCCTCTAAGGTCACATCCTCCCTGGAGACACCAAGGTTGGCTTTGGCTATCCCAGGCTGAATAATCATTTCCTTCACGAATTGGGAATACAGCTCCCTTAACAAGGAGAGGAGGAAGTCATGTTAGAAACCAGAAGATAAAATACAAAAAACGAAAAAGACATCCGCCTGAACCCAGACAGGTCCCTCTGTGCCCCCCCTGCTCAGACGTGGAGCACTTGACCTTTTCTACTGAGAATTCCAGCTCAACTGTGAAAGGTCATCACATTAACCTCCGGGGCAGTCTGCAGAATTAACAGGGGAGAACAATACTTTTTCCTTCCACACGAAAGTAGCTAATTTTACAGGCTCCCTTAGAAATCAGAATATTTTTTCAAATGCTAATGACAGCTAAGAAGCTGTGGGCCTCTACGCCACAAGGGTATTAGGGCTGGAGAGTACAGAGATCATCACCTCTGCTTCTTCAGCAAGGTGCTCCATAAGGCCTTCTCCACAGGGAGGTAGTTCAAGAGGATCTGGACAGAAGGAACATACACATTACTCCTTGAAGCAGAAGGTATTAACAATTAGAAGTTCAGTGAAACAAATGGGGGGGTGACTGGAATTAGAACTGGCTCATTGAGGAAGATGGAATCTTCCTGAAGAATGACTGGTACTTTATCAAGTTATAGCCATCAGTGTCTGGAGGATACATTTTAACATCACCCTGCAAAAAGGCATAGCAAATTTCTTCCACTTAATTAGCAAATCCAGTAGTTCAACCCCACTGGGTGTAATAGCGGGTGCTGTAGATGCACCAAAGCTGTACAGACCCACCCAACAACCTGCCCAAATGATCTCCCCCCGCACAAGTGTGTCTGTTACTGTCATCTCAGATTAGTTAGAATAAATTTCCCTGATTGTTCAGCAACCAAGAGCTGTTGATTTATAGTAGCTTCTTAGATAGTGTTAAGCCAATCTGTTTTGCTTTTAAACGTACAAAACTTTGCAGAATCAAACAATCCAGAGGGTAACTTACAGAAGACAAGAAAAGCCCCAAGCAAAACCCACCTTCCAGCAGAGGCAGCGCAGCCCACCATCAAAAGGAATCCCTGTGAAATACATCAGGCAGAGTCAATTAAGTTAGTCCCAGCCCTTTCACTGCATTATGCAGCATTTATGCCGATGTCACCAAGCAAACAGGAGGGCAGCACTTTTCAAGCTGGCAAGGAGTTTTACACAGATATTGAGAAGCTCTAGGGCATACCAAAAAAAAGTTAATACAGCAAGTAAAAAGTGACTTGCATATTTGGCTCTTGCAAGAGAAGACAACTAGGCTAAGCATAAGGGAAAAAATGATACGGTCCATGGAGCAAAGGAAGGACTGCTTCCGGTGAAATATGCAGATGGTGTCTTGAGTGGAGAAATTAGTGGATATTTTAGAGAGAGAGAAGGAAGAAGAGTTTTTTGCCCACATCTGAAGGTTTCAGAGACCATATATTGCACAGCTAAAATTGCCTCTAAACCATTCAAACAGTTGGTAACTCTTTTAATCACATCCATTAGTCTTTGGTTTGTGACATGCTTGCTTTGTTAAACATTTATGACACTGGTAACTTAGTGGCAGCACAGATGAGGTTTGCTTACTTAACATTAGCTAATCATCTAGTGGAGTTTGACATTTTATGCTTAAGATTTCAAATTATTTTTATCCACTGGAAAGATAGTAGCAGCTCTAGATGAAAGCAAGTTAAAGATCTCAGGAACCACCATCTAGGCATTACACCGCACTCATGATTGCGGTATCAAGTGCCTCAGAGTGCAGACCTTCAGACCAAGTGTGGCTAAAATACAACCCACAAACCATATGTCTCAGTTGTCTTCATACTTAACACAGCTGCAAGGCCTAGAGACTACAGGCCCCATCATTCAGTGTTCCATCTTGAAAGGAGTATCTGCAACTAGCTCAAATCTATTACAGCAAAATAGGCGCAACAACCAAGTCTGTTACCAAACTGTCAACATAGGCCTGGATTGGACATTCTTGCTGTAGAAGCTTTGTGGCGGCCCATGCAACAAAGTTTTGCAGAAGTCACTTACCACTAAAGCAGAGTTCACGGAGCTTCTGCAGAACAATCTTGGGTTCCCCAAGGACATCCTGAAATTCTGCAATCCTACAAAAGAAGTATGGCCACACACACAAATTATATAAAGATGACAGACTCAAGGATGAGTCAGGTGATTAGGTGAAGGTATCAGAGTTATATTGCAGCTTGCTTTCCTGCAATGATCACAGCACAAATATCTCTGCCAGCCAGGCATCAAAGCTCCGACCATGTTGTCCCTGTTGGTTGTTACAGCTAGACATAACAGATATACACTGAGGACTTGCCTAGACACTCAGAATAGGCAGTTACTATTAAAACTCTGTATAGTTCTCGAGTTTAGGCTCGTGACGTCTCTCACTGACAGAATCTCATCCCTAGCTTGCACTCAAGATTACTTATTTCAAGGGCACTTACACCACATGACATACATTGTAAATAGTTACAAAAACATACTTTGCTTTTGTTCTGATAAGGACTTTTTAATCACAACTGCTTTTCAGTTGCAAGTACAATAAGTGAGGCAGATTGCAAAAGCAAACAACCGTATGTAATAGCACCTACCTCAGACTTTCCCTACGTACTGAAGTTTCCCATTTTACAACGATACTGAAAGGCTGGGACACTCCAGCTTTAAGGAACCTTTGAATAAGCCTCAAACCCCCTAATTTTTGGTGCCAGCATTTCCACAACACTGCATTAGTGAAGCTGCACTCAAAGAGGAGAAAGCCTGTACTTCCGTTAAAGGCAGAGCCACGCATCACAAATGGGCTGTAACGCTGTGCTCTGGTTCAGATATTTTGCCCTATGCAGGAACATCATTTGTTATGGGGCACCCCAACGGCCCCATTTCATCCACCCGGACTTGGCAGACCAGAATCAAATATAACAGGTCTATATGCTGACGCCACTTTGACGCATACACCCCCGCCCGTTTTTCTGAAGTGCCCCCCCCCGAGAAGCCACCCCAGCATCTCACTCCTCAGCCCACCCCCTGCTGAAAGCCGCCAACCGCAAGCAGAGACCCCCCTCGGAGACAGGGGAGATGGGGGGGGGTCTTACCCACAGCAGCCTCCCCCTGGCTGTACCAGCCCCTCCCCCGCAGGAGGGTGCAGGGACCAGAACACGCCTGCCCCAGGGCTCAGTTATGGGGCGCCCCCTCGACTGGGAGGATGTGCCGGGGGAGGGGGCGGGCTGGGGGGGGGACACCAGCGTCCAGGGAAAGGAGGGGCCCGGCGGAAGAGCCCCTCGCTCCGGGAGGGGGCCGCTTTCGGGGCCGGACCCCGCCCCCCAGGGGTTCCTCGGGCCCCGGCCCTACCCGGGGATGGGGGAAGGCGGGCCCCGGCCCCCCACCTGCTCTTGTGCAGACTCGACATGGTGACTTCCCGGTCCCCCCCCCCCCGGCGGCCGGCGCGCCCTGAATAAACGGTCCGGCTGGAAACCCGGCCCCGGGCGGCGGGAAGGCTGGGAGGGGGCGGGGCCCTGCGGAAATAGCCGCCCCGGGCCTGGGTGAGAGGCCCCGCCCCTCCCCTGCCTGGCCCCGCCTCCCCGCAGCCAGCGCCCTTACCTGCTGGGCCCTGGGGCTCGGCTCCCTCCCTGAGGGGCCAGACAATGCTACCTGTGACCCTGCAATGGCTCTAACTGAAGGGGAGTGATTTAGATCCAGCAGCATGTCCCAGCCTGAAAGGGGAGTTAATCATCTTGGGTACAGCTACAGCGCCCAACTTGTCCACAGGACTTGGATAGCAAGAGAACTTGCTTTCCTTTTGAATCCTCTCCTGATAGCTATTGAACTCATTCATTTAAATGTTCTCAGAAAGAGGATGGGAACAAATTTTCCCTGGTCCCTTCTCAATTCAAACCTTGCTTGTGGACTGTCATGACAGGACTACTAGTGAGATTTGTATTACGGTAGAGCCTGCAGACCCTGGGTGGAATTGGGGCCTGTGAAGAATGAGGGAGTTGGATGTATTGGGTTTTTTATAAATATATACACCTCCATTTACCTGTTTGATATTATCCTGCTTGAGTGCATAAAGTTAAATCAAAGGAGGCTGTTAGGGGAGAAACTATTACAGAAACAAGGCTCCTTAAGAAAACAATGGCTATTAATTGAGGGTGCCATTTCCTGGCTCTTTCCAACTAGCAAGGTTTACTCTTTCTAGGCCAGAGACTAGGATAAAAAGGGATGCTAAACCATTAAAGGACTCAGGCTTAGAAGAGGAAAGGGGGTTGAGTGAGTTGTTAGCAGCAGCTGGAAACGAGTCTCTGTGTCAGAGAGAGAGAGACAGAGAGCATGCTGCAGCTTCTCCCAGACCACAGATGGAGCTAATTGGGTTTACCAAAACTTGCTAGGAAAAATTAAGGTTTTGAAGAATCTGTGTGTGGATCACTTAAATCAGCTTCTGTCTCAGGCTGGAGGAAAAGGGCCTGTAGGGTTAATGCAGTTGGTAAAGAGGAGGGCTTCAGCTCAGAGATCAACAATGGGGCCTGCTACATTATGATCTTATTAGACCTTCAAACGAAACCAAGAGACCCACTGAAGGATCAGAATGGATCTACTAGAATTTCCACTAGGGTATGGAATTATTCAGTTTAGCTGGGACTGCATGGAACTCTGCATTCTCTAAAGTCATTTTTTCACTGTATTCTCCCAGATTTTTCCTCTTTTAATAATCCAGGAGATTTTTGGTTCCTTTCTTAAATTCAGATGTCATCTCTGGTCTGAGCAGCCAGAATTCACTCATTTCTTGTCTCAAAGAATCCCCTGACATCATCTGTGGGTGTATATACAATTTAACATATAAATATATATTTATTTTCCCATAGTGGAGGATTTCAGTACACAATTTTATTTACATGGCATTTTTCATCCAGAAAGATTCTTAAGGAAAGGATCATTTCCTATTTTGCTCTCAAGCCATATAGCAGCTGAAGTTGATGGCGAAGTGTTGCTGTGGCAGGATGAACTCATGTTCACATTCACTGAAGGAACACAATGAAGATGATCATAAGAAATCCACTGTTCTTCATGAACAAAATATAATTAAACTAGAGGTATTTGAAAATGCATTCCAGGCAGTTTATTCTGTAGAAGTCTTTTGGCCATGAATTTAAAAGCCAGGGTCTTGCTTGCTGTGCATGTTGAAGATCCTGAGGCACTACACCTGAGATCTGTGGTATTAGATTTTATATCCTTGACCAATATTTCTCATTCCATCCCCTGCACTGTTGTGCTAAGGGTGAACCAATTTGGCATGTTGAGACAGTCAGTCAACAAGACACAGTGCTACAGGATGATATTTTGACTCGGTATTGGCATACTTGGAAGAAACATTATCTCACACTCGGGAAGCAAACGTGTCAAAATGTAACTGTGTCATGCAGCAAGGTGTATCACAGCTGGAAGTAACGTGTATCTTAAGATTTATTATGCTGCATCACAACATCCATGTGTTAATTACTCATATCAGGCCAGCCTCAGCTACTATAACATCATGCTCCAATGCAATATCTTCACATCACACCACCTCATTATGGTGCAAAGTAAACCATCATAATCAGGATGCAACTCAATATCATGATATAGAAATGTGATAACATCAGGTCACAGCATGTCATCACACTGCAACACAAGTCACTGTGGTGCAATGCAACATCATCACATGGTAAAATGCAATGTTAGCATTAGGGCTGTCAATTTATTGCAGTTAACTCGTGATTAAAAAAAATTAATCGCGATTAAAGAAATTAATCGCGATTAATCGCACTTATAACAATAGAATACCAATTGAAATTTATTAAATACTTTTGGATGTTTTTCTACATTTTCATATTGATTTCAATTACAACATAGAATACAAAGTGCACAGTGCTCACTTTAAATTATTATTTTTTATTACAAATATATGCACTATAAAAATGATAAACAAAAGAAACAGCATTTTTCAGTTCACCTCATACAAGTATTGAAGTGCAATCTCTTTATTGTGAAAGTGTAACTTACAAATGCAGATTTTTGGGGGGTTACATAACTGCACTCAAAAACAAAACAGTGTAAAACTTTAGAGCCTGCAAGTCCACTCAGTCCTACTTCTTATTCTGCCAGTCACTAAGACAAACAAGTTTGTTTACATTGACGGGAGATACTGCTGCCTGCTTCTTATTTACAAGGTCACCTGAAAGTGAGAACAGGCGTTTGCATGGCACTTTTATAGCCAGCATTGCAAGGTATTTACATGCCAGATATGCTAAAAATTCGTATGTCCCTTCATGCTTCAGCCACCATTCCAGAGGACATGCTTCCATGCTGATGCTCATTAAAAAAATTATGTCAATTAAATTTGTAACTGTACTCCTTTGGTGGGGGAGAATTGTATGTCTCCTGCTCTGTTTTACCTGCATTCTGCATATATTTCATGTTATAGCAGTCTCGGATGATGACCCAGCACATGTTCATTTTAAGAACACTTTCACAGCAGATTTGACAAAACGCAAAGAAGGTACAATGTGAGATTTCTAAAAATAGCTACAGCATTCGACCCAAGGTTTAAGAATCTGAAGTGCCATCCAAAATCTGAGAGGGATGAGGTGTAGACCATGCTTTTAAAAGTCTTAAAAGAGCAATACTCCGATGGGGAAACTACAGAACCCAAACCACCAAAAAAGAAAATCAACCTCCTGCTGGTGGTATCTGACTCAGATGATGAAAATGAACATGAGTCAGTCTACACTGCTTTGGAACGTTATCAAGCAGAACCCATCAGCATGGAAGCATGTTCTCTGGAATGGTGGTTGAAGCATGAAGGGACAGCACGTAAATATCTTGCAATGCCAGCTACAACAGTGCCATGCAAATGCCAGTTCTCACTTTCAGGTGACATTGTAAATAAGAAGCAGGCAGCATTATCTCCAGCAAATTGTAACCAACCTTGTTTTTCTGAGTGACTGGCTGACCAAGAAGTAGGACTGAGAGGACTTATAGGTTCTAAAGTTTTACATTGTTTTATTTTTAATGCAGTTTTTTTACATAATTCTACATTTGTAAGTTCAACTTTCATGATAAAGAGATTGCACTACAGTACTTGTATGAGGTGAATTGAAAAATAAAATTTTTTTTACAGTGCAAATATTTGTAATAAAAAATAAATATAAAGTGAGCACTGTACACTTTGTATTCTCTGCTGTAATTGAAATTAATATATCTGTCAATGTAGTAAACATCACAAAATATTTTAAATAAATGGTATTCTATTGTTGTTTAACAGCGTGATTAATTGCGATTAATTTTTGTAATCACTTGACAGCCCTAGTTAGCATGCTACAGAATGTCATCACACTGCAATAAAAATCAACGTGGCACAATGCTACAGCATTGGGGTAAGATACAATGTAATAAAAATGCAATGCAACATTATCCCAACATCCTGTATTTCTGACACAACAGTGAAACAATTTCATACTTCCACGATGCAATCATATTATCATGCCAAAATGCAATGTGGCCTAGTTGGCAGGGCAATGGACTGAGTTTCAGGAGATGTGGGTTCTATTTCTTGCTCTGCCACTGACCTGCTGGGTGACTTTGGACAAGTCACTCCCCCATCTGTGTCTCAGTTTCCCCATCTGTAAAACAGCAATAATGATATTATCCTCCTTTATAATGCATTTTGTGATCTACTGATAAAAAACTCAATGTAAGTAAGAGCTAGGTATTATCATCTCTCCATGCCAGGCCACCATCACAGTGTGATGTCATCGCACCATGCTGGGACACCCTCAGGCTGTGATGTCATCTCACTGCGCCATGATGTCACCATGCTGCACAAGGAAACTCTCGTGATGTGATGTCACCCTATGGCGTTGAGGGAAGGCTGCAATGTGATGGGATTTCCCAGGTTCCCAGGGGATAAGGCGCAGGGGGACGTGTCACCCTTCCGGTCCGTCTGGAACCCTTCAGCTCCCTGGGGTTCGGGCGATAGGGGCTGTCGGGGTGGGCGGGGGGAATTCTGGCCTCTACCCAGGCAGCGGAACGTTCTGCGTGGGGATTCTGTTTCCCGGGAAAGGCGGTCTCGGGCTCCGGGCGGCGGAAGTGACGGGTGGATTTGTTGACAGCGGAGGCTGTTGCGGGGAGGAGGGGGGGGCGGGAGCGGACCCTGAGGAGGACACACAGACCCCCGCCCCCGGGGACCGGAACCGGAACGAACCTGGATCCCCTCTACCCAGGGAGCCGGGCAGGGGCCTCGGGCCAGGTGGGTGCCGGGGAGATCGGAGATAAGAGCATGCGGGGTTAGCCAGAGGTACCCGGCCCCGGGGGGACCCGATCCCATTCCCGGATCCGCCCACTGCGGGGACCCGATCCCCAGGCTGCCGCGGGTCAGAGACCCGGGATCCCCCCACTGCGCGGGGTGAGGGACGGGACCTGTCATGCACCCACTGCCCCGGGGAGGATATTTGACCATCCACCCACAGGGGCACGGGAGGGAGCCTTGTATCCTCTGGAGCCACCCTCGGGAGACACGATTCCCCACTGTGGGTGACCCCCTAAGAGAGGGGTCACCGTCCCCCCACTACCAGGGATCCCCAATCGGACCCCTGCCCACTGGAAAGGAGTGAGCAAAGACCCTCCTCCTTTCCCGGGATTGACACATGACAGAGGTGGATCCATGATCTGCACCTAAGCTATAGAGCCGATTTCCGTGGGACCTCTGCACGTCTTGAAGGGCATTAAAGCAGCCCCAAAATGTCTTTTGGCACTTGTGGAACTGTATCATGACTCATTCATGACAATGTTGTAATACAATGTCCCGCAGGAGAGATCCTGTAAAAGGGTGGCAGCTCTCATGAAGCTGTTTTATGGGGTGACCTTTGAAACAGATTGGGAACAGGCACAGCAGCTCTTCCAGAGTGGCAGATGTATGTATCGCAGAAGGGAGTTTCGCCCTGTCTGTCCCTTCCTTCAAGGGACAGAAAGACCTGATTTTCACAGGGACCATTCTGCAGGCTGGTGAAACAGCTCAAAATATCTTTGGAGGCCATTGTGATCTGGTGATGCACAGTGTTAATGCGAATCATAACAGGCTTTTCTGGAGACATTTTGCTGGGTGGGTGACCTTTGCAAACAGCAGCAACGATCTTGTACTGTATTTTAACTTTAAAAGGAGTATCTGCACCATAGTCATATACAAATGGCAACCTGTTCCCTGTTTATAATCTGATTTATGATGTTTGGTGTGGTCTGAGCAAAGGATGAGCACCAAAGAATTCCTAAATTCTCAGCATAGCTTTGACACTATGAATATTTGAACCGTTCTGTGCCTCATTTTCCCTACCTGTAAAATAGAGATGATGATATCTCCTGCAACAGTTGGGATGATCAGTTAATATTTGTTAAGTGCTTTGGAACTGTGAAGTGCTGTGTAAATGCAATATAAATTGACAATGTAGTTTTCCTTCAGAATGTAACTTATGCTGAGCTCTGGATTTACATTTAATCTGTTATTTTAAATAATCCCTTGTGATCTGTTCATGCTAATATTTGTTATGCCCTCTGTGTGGGCAAACTCACGATGCTGAAAGAGTCAGCCTTGCCAATCATCTTTGTAGCAGCAAATATGAAGGTTACGCACCTTGGCACTGAGCCACAATGAATCTGGCCTAGCCTCAAGCACCAGGCTGAAGAGAGCATGTAATAGGAGAGGAGATTGATCTGAAGTCCAAGATACAAATTCTAACACAGGCATTCCTAAGTGTGAGAACAGCAGCACCAGGCCTCTCATGTGGGTGAAGCTGGGAATGTCTTAAAAATGCATATGTATCTCATTGAGGAGCAGCAACCACAGAAGCGGCTGTTTGGATCTGGGAGTGGAGGAATGCTGTGTCTCATAGTTTCCTTGAATGCTGAGGGTGGTGTACTACTCCCCAGCTGCCTTGGATGGGGCTGATGGCTCTAGCCATCATGGGGCACATTGGTAACAAGCTTGTTTTAAATAAGTCTGTCCCCTTAGATCAACCCTCTTCCAAGATGGAAGAGGACCTGCCAGGGTGGGAAATCTGTACTTGACTTGTGCAGCTGTGGTTATAGTGGTCTCTCGGTCACTGTGTGCATCTCCCACACACCTCCTTGACCCTTCACACACCCCAAGCAGTTAATTGCCCACCTTGGAAACCATGGGTGACAATCTGGTAGCCAGGTAGATAACCAGCCAGCTGGTCTAGAAGAGCCCACACCTTATGATAATGGCTAGGCAGTAGAATCATAGAATATCAAGGTTGGAAGGGACCTCAGGAGGGCATCTAGTCCAACCCCCTGCTCAAAGCAGGACTAACCCCCAGATAGATTTTTACCCCAGTTCCCTAATGGCCCCCTCAAGGATTGAACTCACAATGCTGGGTTTAGCAGGCCAATGCCCAAACCACCAAGCTATCCCTCCTTCAGTAGCTCTAGTTCACTTACAGATATGGTGCCTATACCTAGTAAATGCATGTAACATTGTGTTCCCATCAGAGAGCCCCCTATTTCCCCCCTCCCTGTCGCCTTGTGCCCCTAGTTAGGAACTTCAGGGCAGGGTCTTCTATTTTTGTGTTTGTACAGCACAGTGGGGCCCAAATCTCAGCTGAAGCTTCTGGGCACTACTCTAATACACATAATGGTGAGTGCTCCTCTGAAGTGATAGTTTGATCCCTTCCTCCTAGAGGAGAGTGGGGTGCCTTTTGCATATGGTAATAGTGGTGGTTCTTGGGAGCTAAGGGATTAAAGCACGGATCATTTCTGCTCCCCAGTTCTATGAAATATCAGTCATCTGATTACATTGCAGTAGCATCCAACGGTGCTAATCAGGACTGGGACCCTGTTGTACTAGTCGATATGCAAACATATAGAAAGACATAGTCTGTGTCCTCTGTGAACTGGACTGATACCACCAACTCATTTTACATCCCTTTAGCTCCTTATACTGCACCCATCACCAGGGTATTGGAGCCATCAAGCAGGCATTGAGAGGTAATGACATTCAGTTGCTACCAACATGGCCCGGAATAGAATTGTGTGACCTGCAAGACCATCACTAGAAGGGAAAGGCTCAATCTCCCATTACCATTCTTTGAGTTAACCAGATCCTATATAAGATTTTTGTTGATTGCTGGGTTTAATTTTCTTTCTGTAAAGCCCATTTGTAACTGTTCTCGTTCTGAAACCTTGGGCACAAGGTAGCAGAGAACTCAACCTACTTCTCCACTGGATAGTTTATTAAATAGGTTTTATGTCAGAATGCAGTAGGTTAAGATGAAAGTTTTGTGTTTGAAATATGGGGAGGGGATTCTGCCCATTGCCTGGTTATTTTATTTCCAGGGATGTTCATGGAAAGGAAAAGACACAAACCTCTTCACATCATCTGATGCTGAAAATCAGGTACAAGCAGATCCAGAATACAGGAGCCAAATTCAGCCATAGTTTCTGCTCTTGCTGAAGTCAGTGGAGTTGCACCCACTTACACCAGGCCCAGATTTGATTTAAAGAGGCTACTGTGGAAACTAGGGCTAGACTAAGTGGACGGCTGTTCCAAAACAAAGAGCAGTTTACTGATCTCTGCCTTTTTCCTTGAGTAGTTGTTTTCCGTGTTGGATTAATTACTTGGTTGGCTCTTGTTCCTGGCACTGAAGCGCATTCTCTAAAGAAGAATTAATGAGACACAGAAAGAAGAACGGAGTTTTGATTTGCAACTCATGCTGCCCCCTAGGTTGCACAGAAATCTGCCCTGAAGCAAAGGGAGGGATCAGAAGGCTGGAGCCTGGGCTGATAGGAAAGCTAAGCCACAGCTATGCTCCTGTCTCCCATGGGGACCATTCAGTGCCTGAATCTGAGTGGTTACCTCATCCCTGAATTCATGGTCAAAGCAGCAGGCCAATTGACTGGAGCTTCTGAGGGGAGAGGGGGGGTTCCTGATTGATCTACCTGTCTGATCCATCTGACTGGTGCCTTCCTGTGGGGCAGTGGCTACAGTGGAGATTCCAACTGGGGTTAGTTATGACATGGTGATGGTGAGGAAAATAGCCTGGGAATCCTTTAAGGAATTAATCCTCATGAGAGGAGGGACAGGGAGAGAGACTGAGTCAATATGTTTGCTGTTTTGTCCTTCTGCACTGAGTGTGCTGCTCTATGGAATCCCATGATGAAAAGCAAAGACTGGATGTTAAAGACATTTTGCAACGCCTTCCAGAGCAACAGCTGCTCAGCTTGTGGTCATCTTGGGTTTTCGTTGCTTTGCTTTTTCCATGTGGGGCGTGAGTTATAGTTAAGGGAAGATGGGGGTACAGTATCCCACATAGGTGATGACATGCAGCATGTAACCTCAGGGTTTACTGTGCACACACAAGAAAGCAGTGCAAGGACCTCTATAAAAACCCAAATGAAACACTAAACATGATGCAAATGCTGTACTGTATGGAAAAGAATGAGAACAGAAGATTCAAGAGAGAGCAGATTTCTGTCACTTTGTGGGTGATATCCTGGTCTGGGTCAAGCTGGAAGCAGAAGCAGGGAAAGAAAGATGTTTAAACTGCTGTTTGGTGACCCTCTGCTGGCTGGTCCTTGAGGCACCATTAACAGGGTACCACAGAGGAGCCTTCTCCTTTCCTCCCATATGCAGGGTGCTGCTGTAGGTCAAGAGTGTGGTCTGGAGTTGTGCCTTATCAGGAAGCGACCAGCCAGGTAGTTGGAGAGGGTGGCTTGGGACACAATCCTCAGGTGTCTACAGATGGGCCTGAACCAACACAGGCAATCTGAAACTGTTAAGACAGGGTGCAGATGAAATGTCTGCCCCTGAAGGGGAAGATGCCACAAATGCCTTTTTAGCTGTTGCCCTTAGTTTCAACACTTGTCAAGAAACTTCTTTCTGATGTTTAGATGGCAACAGCTAACAAAACTTCTGTATGGTACAACCTTATCTAACAACCACCCATCTTATGCACTTTCTGTCTGAAAGTATCCACAAGGTTTCTAGTGCCTGTTTTTGCTTCTATATAATGTATAAAGAAGGCCTGAAAGTGTATATTTAAAAAAAAAGTTTTGGTTTTGTGTGTGCCTCTGATTTTACACTAGAAATTCAGATGTCTGTCATGGCCATCCCAAGAGTCAAGAGAATGAAAGCTGAGCAGTGGAGAAGGGAAGGAATTTTTAGTACAGCTGCTTAGAACACTTAACTCCAATAGCTAATGAACCTTTCAGCGAAAATATGTCTCTGTTAAAGACTTGCCCTCACTCGTGCTCTCTCTCACACGCCTCCTTCAAGTAATATGTAATAAACATTTCTGAGACTCACAAGAAGTTCTCCTGCAATACCAGGGAAGACCAGACTTTGCATTTCTGATATTTCTCAGGTGAAAAACAAACAGGAAAAATCCTCAAACATTTCTGACCGTCTTTATCCATCATAAAGTAAAACAAAGCCCCCAGCCTAATTCTTTTTACAGGTCAGCTTTAAAGCCCCAGCTCCTCTGAGAACCTGATCCTGCAAACGCTTACACATGGGACTACTCACAAGTAGTATTATTCATGCATATATGTGACTACAGGATCAGACCCTTCATTGTATTAAAAATAATGTCACTGCCCTGTTCTTGTAACTGGATTTCTGTGCCTGCATGGAGCCCCATTGACTTTGTGGGGGTTCACTCACATAAAGCCCAGTTGGCTTCATGAGGGCTTTATGCAGAGGTAGGAGTCTGCCCATAAGGGAAGAATTGCAGGAATGTGGCTTTTGTTACTGACAAGACCTCAGAGAATTAAAATGGAGAGAAGTTATAAAGATTGAACTTTCTCTCCTATGTACACTTTGCATTTCACTCAGCTTCGAAAATAAAAGTAGACCAGTCATTTTCCTTTTGGTCTCTACTCAGTTTCATATCCTGCTTCTGGGGTCCAGTATAATCCTGTGGGTTTGGAGCTTTCAACACTGCAGGGAAGGTTCAAATTAATTACAAAGCAAAGTAGTTTAACTGAAATTAAAATAAATAGAATCCTAGATGTTAGAGATGGAGCAAGCTGCTAAGTCCCATCAAGTCTGCGTGCTGGATTGTGCCCTACAGTATATTTTTAGTGATCTGCTCAGTCTAGTTTTATGTGACCCAAGCAATGTGGCTTCCCCCACTTCCCTCTAAGAGGCTCATCTTCAGACTGATGCAGCTCACTGATTGGAAGCTTTTTTTCTAATATTTAACCTAATTAATTGGTTCCCATTAGCTAACTAACCTTTATAGCATCATGGAAGCTTGGGGAGTGTTATTCCCATTTTACTGGTGGGGAAAATGAGGCATAGAGAGGTTAAGGGCATTATTTGCTAACGGCTAAACATCTGCAACTCTCTTTGCCATCAACAGATGAACCTAGCCATCAGTGTCCCGCTAAGCACTGGCAGATTTTCAGGGTACTTTCCAATGTATTTTTCTTTTATCTGATTGTCTGTCTTCCGTCTGCCTGCAGATGTCCTAATGTCCCTGTAAATCCAGCTGGGAATCTCCTGAGGTTGGGGGGCAGGGATCCCTTGAATTGAAAAGCTTCCTTCTGCCACAGTTCCCTGCTCCCCCTGCCCTCCACCACTGTTCCCTGAAGATGGCATCTGACAGCCCAGAGTCGCTGATGACATTATGCACAGACTACTGCCTCCGCAACCTGGAGGGGACCCTCTGCTACCTACTGGACAACGAGACTCTCCGGCTTCACCCCGATGTCTTCCTGCCGAGTGAGATCTGTGACAAGCTCGTCAATGAGTACGTGATTGAGTTGTGTGGGTGCTGCTGTCCATCGGGGATGGTAGCTGGGGGAAGAAGCCAGGACTCGAGGGGAGGGATGCATACACTTTACACTTATTTCTGCTTGAGTCTTACATTAGAAATGTAGCTTTTGCCTAGCTTGTTTTTCCTGGAAAGCTCTATGGTTGACTGGAGAACTAGTAGAGGTGTGCCCTTACAGGCCCCACGGCTGGGAAAGCTGATAGAGGGAAAGAGATCTATGTTTATACGGCACCCACCACAATGGTGTCCTGGTCTATCCCATTTTCTGGTCCTCCAAGGAGAGCTCCAAAAAAATCAGAAAGATTTCGTAGCTTAGAAAAAGTAGGGTGGAAAAAGAGGGGAAACGTTTTTTTAAATTGAAAAATTCAAACCCTGGGATGGAAAATAAACCGTGTTACCTCTCATGTAGGTATGTGGAGCTGGTGAATGCAGACAGCATCTTTGAACCCCATGAGAGCTTCTTCACCCTGTTCTCAGATCCTCGGAGCACCAGGCTAGCCCGAATCCATTTGCGGGAGGACGTAGTGCAGGACCAGGACCTGGAAGCCATCAGAAAGCAGGTGGTATTGCATTTATGTCTTACTGGCTGTCACTCTGCAGCAGCCCACAGCAGAGACCACTCACAACTCTCAGGGAGAACCATAGATTACTTGTACTTTTTACCTGCTTTATCAGAATCCTAGCTGTGGGGGAACTTGAGGCTTCTCCAGCCCAGCCTTTCCCAGCAGGGGTTGCTGTAGGGAATGGAGTGGGAGCACTGACTGTGTGGGAGCTCAGAGTACTCTATAGTCCTAGTCACTCCCAGCAGGAGTCACTGTAGGGAACGGTGTGGAAACGCTGGCTGTGTGAGAGCTGAGTACTCCAGACCCGGCCATTCCGAGCAGGAGTTGCTGTAGGGACTGGGGTAGGAAAACTGACAGTGAAGTAGTTCTAATATTTTGGCTTCCTGCCTTCCAGGACCTTGTTGAGCTGTCCCTGATTAACTGTGAGAAGCTGACAGCCAAGAGCCTGCAGACCCTGCTGAGCTTCAGCCACACTCTAGTTTCTCTCAGCCTCTTTGGCTGCAGTAATCTCTTCTACGAGGAAGAGAACCCAGGAGGCTGTGAAGACGACTGCCTGGTGAACCCCACTCGCCAGGTCTTGGTCAAGGACTTTACCTTCGAGGGCTTCAGCCGCCTGCGCTTCCTGAACCTGGGCCGTATGACTGAGGGGGTGAACGTGGAGACATTGCTTCGACCTTTGGCCTCCCTCACTGCCCTGGATCTCTCTGGGATCCAGCTCAATGATGTGGCATTTCTGACCCAGTGGAAGGACAGTCTGGTTTCCTTAGTGCTTTACAACATGGACCTTTCAGAGGAGCACATCCAAGTGATCTCACAGCTCCGCAAGCTCAGGTCAGCAGATGCCTCCCTCCTCACTCGTTCTTTCTCCACTGGGAGTTGCAGGTGCTCAGAGATGCTCAGGATTGAGGATTAATTTTCCGAGAGCATTTTCCCCATCCCAGGTTTTAGGTTTGTGGTGGTGGAGGAACAGAGCTTTCCCTCAAAGGCACTTGATCATTCACTCCCTTTGCAGCCCAAAGCCCTTGCTGAAGCCCGTAGAGGTTTTTCCTGCATGAGGACAGCAAGATCAAGCACTCAGAGAGGGCTCCCTATTTTTATACCTGATCCTCAGTCAAAATTACTCCCGGTCTGTGGGGACATTTGGATGCTGGTATCACAGCAATAATTGCAGTGTGAAACCAGAACTGACTCCCACAAGTTGCTTATCGAATGAGGAAGTCCAATGTTTAAGCCTGGCTCACAGATAAGAGAAAAACTTAGCACTCAGTGGTTGGCTTGAAACATCTGATCACTGAGCACCACCAAAGCCCATTGAATGTGAAATAAGCAGCAGACCTTATTGCTCTGAGCACAGAGTTAGGGAAAGAGGATGATCCAGGAAACAATGTCATCCAAAGCAAATAGGCACCCCTGGTCTACCAGTGAGAATTAGTGCTGTCACATGACTCCATAGCCGCAAACAGCGAGCACCACAGTCACCAGCGAAACTGCACATTTGGTACCAGGAAGAGAATGCAGGATTTTCTGGTCCAAAACCACAGGGTTTTACCATTCAAATTAAAGGAGCCTGTCCACCAGTCTTATCGTTTATAGTCTCTGTGGTTACTAGGGGGCTCCATGTTCATACACGTTAGACATGTCAGAAAAGCACCAGAGGTAAAATTTTCATAAGCATCCAAGTGACTTAGGAGCTAAGTCCCATTTTTAAAGTGATGTAAACGCCTAAGTCCTGCTGATTTTTGTTGACTTCAACTCTTAAGTGCCCAAATCACTTTAAAAATGGGACTTAGGCTCCTAAGTCACATATGCCCTTTAGAAAATTCCAACCTATGTGTCTTTAATCACTAATGTGCAACCCAGTCCCTCTCTCTATCTCTCACACATTCTGGTAGGAACTTACCTGACCATCTGTCCAGTAGGAGCCACCACATGCCCCCTGTGGGTAGCAGTTGTACTGAGGAAGTGTATTACTATTATTAGATGGTTTATTAACTTAATTTTATGTTGCGTTTTTCATATAACATCAAACATTTAAAACTATAGGGCAATGGTGCTGGTGTAATAGAGATTATTAAGATCTCTGTACAGTGTCATGGATACAACAATATCTAGTCTGGAAAAGAAAGAGACAAAGGGAGGAATCAGAGAGCTTCTATCATTAATTTTGGGAGATGAGGTAACACACCTTTCTGGGGATGAGAAGATCTTCTGGTGCAATTTGATCCCCAGGTAGAAGATATGTAGCCAGTTCCATGGTTAGAGAAATGATCAGATGCCTGTTTATGATGAAGACTGGGAAGGTAGGTTGCTCAGCCTACAGTAGTTGCCATTCTGATCATTTAGCTGAGTAATTCTTTATACTCCATTCTGGACAGGCCCCCACCAGGGATCTGTTGGTGTATAATCCAAGGGTACTGCGTGCACTGAGGTTATACACAGGACTCCATCCTGCTGCTAGTTCCACAGAGTCACATCCCTGTATCTTGGAAAATCAGCAGTTGTGCTTGTGAATGGTCTCTGCAGGGCTGGGTTTGACCTGAAAGGATGGGGGAAGCCCCACTTGATGCTCTCCAGACTCTGAGATGCTTGCTCTCCTTTTCAGGCACTTGGATATTTCCCGAGACCGCCTGTCCAGTTATTACAAATTCAAGCTGACCCGGCGGGTGCTGACCCTGTTTGTGGATAACCTGGTAAACCTCTCCTCGCTAGATATCTCAGGGCACACCATGCTGGAGAACTGCACCATCTCAAGCATTGAGGAGAAAGTGGGTCAGACAAGGTAAGGCTAGAAGGCCAGGCAGGGATGGAGGTCACTGTGGATCTGTGGGAGGGGAGATTTCATTGAAAGCGGCAGGAAGGACAAATCTCTCTCTTGGCCTCTCTCCAAGTGGGATTGATCACCATGGATGAGGGCTTCAGAATAGTCATTAATTAGCCCTACCTGGCTTTCATTCACATCCACATAGGTTTTGCAGCTGTCCTTTTCCTTATACATTACCTACTTACTGACAGCTGTAAAAATAGTTTATATATCATCCACTTCCCTCCAAAAAGACCACAAAGCCCTCCACAGACTGTACTCAAAGTGGTTTGAGCATTGGCCTGCTAAACCCAGGGTTGTGAGTTCAATCCTTGAGGGGGCCACTTAGGGATCTGGGGCAAAAATCTGTCTGGGGATTGATCCTGCTTTGAGCAGGGGGTTGGACTAGATGACCTCCTGAGGTCCCTTTCAACCCTGATATTCTATGAACTCTTGTCCACCACTGAAATGCAGTGAGTTCTGGGGAGGAGCACAGCAGCCTTCCTGCATCAGCTTCACTACACAACAGTTTTTAGAAGTGTTAGCAAAGAATTACTTCTGCAGTTGAAATGACTGCAGGTATTTTAGGGAGCTGGAATTACAGTGCTAATATTGAGATTTGTCAATACCATGCCCAGTGAGAGCCTAACTTCCTTAGGCCCCTTTGAAAATCCCAACCAGCATCTACAGGGACCACTCTTAGCTCTCATTCCAAATCAGCCAGGAATTTTTCCCTCCCATATTCTGAGCTGTTACAGTGTGAAAGCAAAACTGCTATGCTGCAGCACTGGCTTCTTTACAGAATTCATGGAAAACATAGGCTGTAGATCTTCAAGGAATACAGCGGTGATGCAGCAATCACTGTTGATAGTGTTCTAAGTCAATACCGACCCAATGCTTCATTGTAATGAGAGGGGTGTTGAGCTGATGGCGGTCCTTCAGAGGAGATATAAAATCAGGTGTCTGACTATTTATGATCATTAGAAATCCCATGGTCCTTTTTATAACAATCAGTTGTTCCCCTGCTGTCCTAACCAAACTTGGGTAACTATAGTCTCCCTGCCTGAATTCCTATTGTCATTTCTGTTGGACACATTCACTTCTTGTGCAGAACAATAGGGATCATCTGTGATGAAAGGTCCCATCAAGGAGTATGATGCGATTGTCTTTAAGAAACCCTTACTGGGATTTTGATGGGATATGACTGAATTTAGACCCAGCTGTTCTGGCTTGTTGTGAAGTGTAATCAGAGCAGGCAGGGAGCTCTGTAACTATCTCTGTGGTGGAGGGAGCTGAATAAGCAGAGCTCAGACATGGATGATCTCTTCTTTTCCCAGCATTGAGCCATCAAAGAGCAGCATTGCCCCCTTCAGGGATCTGAAACGACCGCTTCAGTTCCTGGGCCTCTTTGAGACCTCTCTTTGTCGTCTGACGCATATTCCAGCCTACAAGGTAAAGGGCCAGTGGGAAAATTCTCAAAAAGGGTCTGAAGTTAGAGAGTCTGCCAGCATCTCAGAGCTCTCAGGCTCTGTGGAAGTGATACATGTGCCTTTTGAACTATGGGTCCCCCTGCTGGAAGAATGCTGCAGTGGTGCAAGGTCCCTACCCTATGCAGTGTTTGTGAGGGGAAAAAACAGCTGTTTAGAAAGGAGCCTGGTAAAGACACACATGCACCCGCCCCTGTCCATTCCCCACCCTGCTTGTAGCACAAAGGGCACTCGACAACGGGTGTCTGAGGCTTAAGAAGAAGTAGCCATGCATAACCCTGCAAAGAGATACCACCCTGCCCTGCAGGGACCACTTCCTGCAGGGTTGGGCTGAGAGGTAACTCAGCCTGCGCGCTGATATCTTGGGCCTCATTAGAATGAATCCTGCTAACAATATAGAAAGGGGCTGAGAGAGTGCATGCACCATTTGAGCTGCCACCTACAGACTCCTCTCCCTGCGGATCTCCCATTCTCTTGCTGGCCTTTCTCCTGAACAACCCCCTCTCTTGCTGGTCTCTTCCTCCCTGGACATGATTTTGTTCCTTTCCTTGCTGCCAGGTGAGTGGGGACAAGAATGAAGAGCAGGTGCTGAACGCTATCGAGGCATACACTGAACACCGGCCCGAAATCACGTCCCGGGCCATCAATCTCCTTTTTGATATCGCCCGCATCGAGCGCTGCAACCAGCTGCTGAGAGCACTGCAGGTGAGCACACAGGCACTTACCCACAGGCAGTGCTCACCTCCCTTGAGCACAGTCAGATTTAGGGGGAGGGGAATTTTACCGCACAAAAATCAAACCTTTCCCCATGACTTAGGGCTTGATCCAAAGCCCATTAAAGTCAATGGAAAGACTCCCATTTCCTTTGGCTTCAATGGGCTTTGGATCAGGCTCCTAAAGAGGAAGTTCCAGTAGCATGATGGAAATCAGGTCCTTGATTTTAGGAGGTGTCTTATGATCTCATTGAGCAGCCTATTCCAGCTGTGCCTGGGCTCCTTGTCCCTTGAATGCTTGTATTGGTCTTTGCCTGCGTAGGGGTAACGGTTACATGGGGGCCCAGCTGGGACTACATGGCACTAAAAGCTCCCATTGTTTCTTTGTAGCTGGTGATCACAGCTCTCAAGTGTCACAAGTACGATAAGAACATCCAGGTGACTGGGAGCGCAGCCCTTTTCTACCTAACGAATTCAGAGTATCGGATGGAGCAGAGCGTGAAGCTGCGGCGTCAGGTGATCCAGGTGGTGCTGAATGGCATGGAGTCTTACCAGGAAGTGACAGTAAGAGCTCAGTCAAACTTCACCCTGCTCTCACTGTTCTCCCTCTTCCCCGTCTCCCAGTAAAAGGCCAGTTCCAGTACTTTGTACCTTCTGGGTGCTTTGAGCCTATTGAATGTGTACCACGGCATGCCCTAGAGAAGCCGTTGCCTATATCTGGTCATGCATTCACTTTATGGGTGGGTGGGTGCAATTTTATGTGGGATGTATTGGTGACGTAGTTCAGTAGTAATACGGGGGAAGAAAGAGGCGATAATGGTGCACGTGTATTTGTGGCAAAGGTGACTGGCTTTGGATTGCATGTGGAGTGTGCAGGTGGTGGGGCTGGGTAGCAGATGGAGAGTGTGCATGCAGTGAGAGGGTTGAGCTGTAGGCTGGTGAAGCTATTGTGTGGGGAGTGCATGTGCAGCGTGGTGTTGGGTCGGAGGGTGATGCATGTGTATGTGGTGTTTGTGTTGAGATGGAAGATAGTGACAACACTGTGTGGCAACTGTACATGTGCTTATGGGGTTTTGCACATACTTGTTGGATGGTCCATCATGTCAGCATACTCTAACCTTGCTCTGCTTCCCCCCGGTAGGTGCAGCGGAACTGCTGCCTGACACTGTGTAACTTCAGCATCCCAGAGGAGCTGGAATTCCAGTACCGTCGTGTCAACGAGCTGCTGCTGAACATCCTCAACCCTACTCGGCAGGATGAGTCCATCCAGCGCATCGCTGTACACCTCTGCAATGCCTTGGTCTGCCAAGTGGACAACGACCATAAGGAGGCTGTGGGCAAGATGGGGTTTGTCATGGTTGGTATGGTCCCAGGATGGCTGCTAATCCCTACCCCAGACTGGGCTTGAGTCCCTTGGGAAAGTACTTTCTATGATTTCCATTGGAAGTGTCTGTGGAGTAGGTCCAGTAAATAATCCAGTGTCACAGAAAAGTATTGCAGTCAGGGAAAGCTAGAGTCTTAGCAGCGTTGTCCTATCATGGAATCCACCGTCCTCAAGCTGAGCCCCTTGAAAACATGCCAGCAGGGGAAGTCGTTACTTCCTTGATGTGCTATTAGAGGTAGTGTCTGTTTGAGGGCAGGGGAGGCAGCATGATCTCAACACAAGGCCAGGAGTCACGACTCCTGAGTTCTAATCTTGGCTCTGCTACAAATTTATCGTGTGGCCTTGGGTAAGCCCCATAACCTCTCTGTGCCAGTCTTTCCATTAGGAGAAGGCAGACCGTCCCAAAGAAAAGTAATGTTGAATGGGGAGGGCTTCCCACTGAGCAGTAGTGTTTTCCTCCTAGAAACATAAAAAAAAGTTGTTTCTGCAACTAGCACAATCCTCTTGGTAACAATGTAAGGGTTTTCATTTGGACATGTCTGAGTAACAACCTTGCCCCTGCTTTTGGATACAAAATGGCCCAGCAAGTCAGGAAGGCTCTCCTGCCTCTCCAGAGATAGGAAAAGCTGCTGCCCATTTGGAAATAATAAAATCTGCAGAACCTTTCCATTGGGGTTACTGCCTGGACAGCACCTCCAGTGTGCCAAGAGTCAGACCTCCCTTCACACCTTCAATTACATAAGATTGAGTGGACACGTTTCTTTGTCTCACTTGACAGACAACACTGTCCAAGTAATGGACCAGAAATTGTGCATGTGGGGGTATGTACAGTTTTGGAGGGTTTCCAAGTCCCTCTACAGGAAGTCACTCTGCTCATTTTTTGACATAATCATAATCTCTCCCTGGCTTCAACTCTCCTGCCTCACATTCCAGTTCCTTATCCTCCCGTTCAAGACTCTGCTCGAGTCCTCTCCCATACCTCTGCCCTCATTTCCTCCAACAAAATTTCCTATGCCCCAAGCTCTTCTCTGTCTTTCCTTTGGTCTCCTTCACCCACTCTTGACTTCATGGCTCCTTCCATGCTCCCCCTTGAGTTTGCAACAGCCTCCCAGTTAAAGTCCACTAACTTCTGAGGTCCCATCTTTTTCATGAAGCTATAAAGAGAGCATACACCAGACTATTTATTGCTCACTGGGCTGTTCTGTACTAAACTCTGCCTTTTTGTGCCGTTAGCCAGGGACCTGTTATCTGGATGGTACAGGTCATCTGTCGTAGTGTGCTGTGTGAACCAGTGGAATCGTTGTTTATACAGTGCCATTGAACCAGAGAAAATAACACTAAATTCGGAAGAGATGGGAGGGGTGTTTACACCTTTTGAATCAGATTCCATATGCATAGAGCCAAATCCAATCCATGAGTAAGCATAACTGCCATTGACTTCAGTGAGAGCTGTGCCAGACTATGTCAGGGTTGAGTTTGATGTACAGTCTTTATTTTAATCTCTGTGATTCCTGGCCTGTTCCCAGACCTGCTCTTACGCTTCTCATTCCCTCTTCTCTCTGCCCACAGACCATGCTAAAGCTGATTCAGAAGAAGCTGGTGGATAAAACAGTAAGTGTTTCTTCTTAAAATCTGTAAGCAAAATATACTCCATTTATATTCACTCTAACCCTGAGGTGGAGAGGTCAGCCCAGGGGTGCTAGGAATCCAGTCACATTGCACCAGCAATTTTCCAGGTGTCCCCAGAGGCTTGTGGGGACTTGGCTCCTCTGAATAAACTGGATAATGGTAATATTTGTGTTGGTGGGTCTGAACTGAATAAAAACTGGTCCCTTCCGAGGTGACAGCAGTTCCCTATCCTTCTGATTAGTTTGCATTGGGCTCCTGTATTACAGGCGCTCTGTCTGCAGTTGCCCATGTCACATACTTCATTCCACTGTGTTTTACCGTCTCCTTCCCTCTGGCTCGACAGTGTGATCAGGTGATGGAGTTCTCCTGGAGTGCCCTGTGGAATATCACAGACGAAACCCCCGATAACTGTGAGATGTTTCTCAACTATAGTGGCATGAAGCTCTTCCTGGAGTGCCTGAAAGTAAGTGCTGCCCAGTATCCTCTACACCAGAGGTTCCCAAACTCTTCTTATTGCGTATCCCCTTCCAGATCTACGAGCTACCCGCGTATCCCTATCCTTCTCATCGCTGAGATTTTGTGTGCTCTTCTTAACACTACCTGTCTTTAGCCATCTGTCCATATTTCACTGTTACGTATAGTTATAGTGTGACATGTACAACTGAAAAAAACCCTGACTAAGTTCTGAGCTCAGTTAGACTGGAAAGTTGCTGGGCAACTGAACCTGCGCTGTATGGTGATTGGAGCTGAGGGTTCTGTAAATCAGCATCTCTGTGTTTCTGTATTCTCATTGGTACATCTTGAAGTAAGTTAACTACCGTATTTTATATAACAAATTCCCACAGAGTTTTAAAGCTTCGTCTGAGTAGCCTATTGTGAAAATGCAATAAATAAAATAATTAATTAATAAAATCCACCATTACACAATTTCTCACAAGTAGCCCCCAGAGATATGGTACGCATACCACAGTTTGGGAACCCCTGCTCTCCACTGTCACACTGTCACGTTTGGGACTGAGTCCTGGCTCATCTGATCCCTGCTGAAAGCTTCGTCTGTTGCATAAACGGAAAAGACTTGTACCCACTCTGCCCATTCCCCCCTCCACATACATACATCCTATGAGCACAAGGAAACGGCATACTTCTACCTCATTTACTCTCTCTCTCCCACTCCCTGTCCTGTGCCTGGAGATGCATTTCCCTCCAGTGGCCATGTCAAGCAGTGGAGAACTGTCCCTTGCTTTGCAGTGGTGTGGTTCTCTCCCACCTGTCATGTGTTTTGAATGCTAGAAACCTCACCACACCAAGAGGAGAGCTCCATTTCTGACTGCTGGGAAATAGTCTGCCTTCCTGGATTTGCTGCATCATCAGTCACAATGGTCATACTTTTGTTTTACACATGTTCCTTGTTTCCTCAGGAGTTCCCAGAGAAGCAGGAGCTGCACCGTAACATGTTGGGGCTTCTGGGAAATGTGGCGGAGGTAAAAGAGCTCCGCCCACAGCTCATGACCTCCCAGTTCATCAGTGTGTTCAGGTTGGTGCATCACTGATCAAGAAGCAATATGGTCTAATGGTTAGAGCCGTGGACTGTGAGACAGGAGACCTGGCTGCTCTTCCTGACTGCCATTGAGTCACTGTGTGACGTAGGACAGTCATTTAACATTTGTGCATCAGTTGCCCCCACCCCGTTAAACAGAACAAAAAAAGGATAGTGGAACTCGCCCAGTTTGTAAAGTGCTTTGGAATCTTCAGAGGATGGCTGCAATCTAAATACAAAGTATAATCAATAAAACCAGTTTGGGAAGCTGGTGTTTGTCAAGCTGTTTTGCATAGGTTGCTGTGTCCAGTCCAGTTAGGAGATTATGACTTATCTGATGAGCTCTGGTTAGAGTTCACAGGGGCTGCACTGTTTGCATACTAAGTTTTTTGTCCCTGATGTGCTACATAAGGCTATCCTGGCACCTCTGAAATCTTATCTTCTATCTTGGCAGCAACCTGTTGGAGAGCAAAGCAGATGGGATTGAGGTATCTTACAATGCATGTGGGGTTCTCTCCCACATAATGTTTGATGGCCCAGAGGCTTGGGGTATCTGTGAGCCACGCCGAGAGGAAGTAGTAGACAGGATGTGGGCAGCCATCCAGAGCTGGGACATTAACTCCAGAAGAAATATCAATTACAGGTGAGGGATGTCGGATCTTGGCCCATTTATTCCAGGAGTGGGGATTGTCCCAAGAAGTAACCTCAAGCACGTTGAAGTCTGCAAGAAAGGTGGAGATTTAATCAAGTGTAGAACTTCTCCTTGGGGTGAGGAAGAAATTTCCCACATGGACATACTATTTTAGATGGGGTTTTTCAACTTCCTTTGAAGCATGTGGTACTGGCCACAGTTGGAGATTAGAGGGACCATTGGTCTAATCTGGACAGGCAACTGCTACACTTCTAAGTAGAATATGGAGAAAATTAAAATAGTCTGTATCCCTAGTTTCTCTTGAGGGAACACAGTAGGACTAGAACTTGTCCTGCATGTTTCTGGTGGATTCGGATTGTGCAGGAAACATGGAATCTTACCATTTTAGTCTGCTTAAAAACATTTCTTTAAGGAATCCCTCTCTTGCTGTTGGTTAAATTCTGATTCCTGATGAAAGGTACAGCTAGGGTGAATGTTCCTGTCTCCATGAAATGGGTTACTGCAGCCTTCAATCTGCCTTTGGGGATGTTTAGACAAGCCTCCCAAAATTCCCTTCAGGTGTTACAGTGACTTGTGGAATAACCCTAAAGCTCCTGCTGTGAGAGCTGCGTCAGGAACTCTGGAATGCCACAATGCACTAGTACAACAACAGATGGAATGAATTGCTGGTGAGGATGCAGTACAAGTGCGATTCCAACACCTGATTTGCAGTGTGGATGCACTTCACTGTTGCAAGAACAAATGGCGCAGCCATTGTTTATGAATGATCAGTGTCCCCTCAGTTGTGGGTACTAGGGTACTTGGCCTAGGGTAGATAGAGGCCCTTTAACTGTAACCCATCTACGGAGTGATCAGCACTGCTGAATCTCAGCTTTCTTAAGGAAATGTGACTGGAACAGGATAGAAATTAATTCCCCGTTTAATCCTTCAGAGCTGGTTCTCAGTGCCGCATGGTAGTATTAAACAGCAGGGATTGAGCCTGTCAGTACCACAAACTATGACTGCCTCTTGGATACTGGAAGGTGATATGCCAATGAGCTTTACTGTTGTGTAATGTATTAGCTCTGACTGCGAAGCTTCCAGTACCAATACAGGAAAAGATGCTGGAACAGCAGCTTTTGGGTTTCTCATTTTTTTCTTTAATATTTGTTGCAGGTCATTTGAACCAATCCTTCGACTCCTTCCGCAAGGGATCTCTCCTGTCAGCCAGCACTGGGCTACTTGGGCTCTCTATAACCTCGTCTCTGTTTACCGTAAGTCCCTCCATAGAGAACATTATAAATACAGTGAAATGGTTGGGGCTGTGAATCTCCATACATTGTGCCTGTTAGACAACAGGGGTGGCGAAAGGTCAAGGGAAACTATTTTCAGAGGCTTGTAGGTTAATGCAGAGTATGTGGCTAATTCCAAGGCAGCTCCTTGAAGTTACCAAGGATGTTCAAGGGGTGTAGCCAGAACTAGGAAGACAACATAGACTTAGTGCATGAAAACAGCCTTCTGGAGCTTCCATCACTCTAGCAAGCTTGAGTGCTGAATTGGTTTCTATTTCCGATACTTCTGCAGATTGGATGCACCTAAGAGGCTGAGCCACTAGAAAGAGAAACCTGTACCCTATGGCTTACCAGCCAGCAACCTTCTCACTGCTTCTCTATCTCCTCTTGTTTTGAGCTCATTGCCTTGGGAGAAGAGTCAGGCTGCAGAATGTAGAGATTTGACCTAGTAGGAGTGAAGATTTCCAGGGTTGTATTTCCCCCTTCTTTACAGCTGACAAGTACTGCCCCCTGCTGATCAAAGAAGGTGGAATGCCCCTTCTGAAGGAGGTGATTAAGATGGCTTCAGCACGCCAGGAGACCAAGGAAATGGCCCGGTAGGAAACGAATAAGTTATTAAACATGCAACCTTAGTTTAGGATTTTTTATATATAAGCATGAGAGTAAAACTATCAAATATAGGCCAATGAATATGTGATTAGGGATGGAGAGAACACAGTAGTAGTATGCATAAGTAGATAGAAAAGATGTGAAGGATATAGGTGAATTGAGAGTTGTTCATAGATGGGGAATAGACAAGGATGAATGGGTGGATGAGTTTGGTGGATAGCACAGTAAGGTATCAATGGACTGCTGGAAGGTATCTAGATGAATAGTAGAGCCATACCTCTCAACTGGATCTGATTATGAGGATAGCCTCCTGTTTATTTCCATCCCTCAAACCTGGTGTTATCTTACTGTTTATACATGTACATCATTGACACCAGACGAGCTGAATCACGTGACAAAATTGATGGAGAATGTCTTACATAGTAAAATGAATCTACCATTTTCCCAAGCTTCTTCCTCTGACGTTTGGTATCAGAACCTTCCTTTTAGGTCATTCTTTCAGATTTTAAAAGCCAGTTGTATACATTTAATCCATGGCAAGTTGAGAGCTATGACTTTATAGATATAGGGAAAATGGAAAAGGTGGGTGGATATTTGCTGGGAATATGTGTATTGTGTATATGTGACAGACACTTCCAGTAGCTGAAAGAATGATAAATGGTGGAGGAGATTAATGAAGTTTATGGAAGATAGAGTAGGAGATTGAATAATAGAGTAGATGAATTGTGTATGGGTCAGATGCATGAATGACAGGGTCAATAGAAGAATGGTGAATGGAAGGTATATGAATAACATGGTAAGTAGATGGTAGATGACAAGGAATAGCTAAATTGTAGACATATGGGTACAAGGATAGAAGACAGAAAAGGTGAATGATGGATGTTTGGATGAGCAGATTATTAGATGTGTTGATGACAGGAAGGTGTTTGGATGGGAGATGAGGGTGTGATGGCCAGTGAATAATGGGTGGGTTAATAAATGGACAGGTGTGGATCTGGATGTATACTAATTCTGGAAGGGATTGGTTGTAAGTGGGTAATTAGATCTGTTTTTGTTGAGATATACTTGTAACACAGGTACTGGGTTGACGCATGTCTCAGGATATACTGCCTGATACATACACTACATTTAAATGTAGGTGACAGTGCCTTATGCTTGTGGCCCACTTCATTATTTTCCTAGTCTTTGAACTAAACCTTTTCTCCTTGTCCTTATTTTGTCCATAGGAAAGTTATAGAGCACTGCAGTAACTTTAAAGAGGAGAACATGGACACTTCCAGATAGAGGCAATGATCTAACAACGCCTCTTGCCAGCACTGTATCCAGCTTCTCTCTAATTCACTGTATATAGAGAGGACTCTTTCTCACCAGCTTGGCTGTTGGAAGGAACCTGTGTGTGTGTGTGTGTGTGTGTATATGTGTATGGGTGTGTGTGTGTGTGTGTGTGTGTGTGAGAGAGAGAGACACTCAGTAGATGAAGGTGCACAGGGGTGGGGTGGGGGGGACCTTTTGCACAACAAATGCTTTCCTTAAATTAGTAGGTTTTTCGTTATGAAGTACGGATTGAAGTTTTGTGTATATGATTTCTGTATAAAAAACAAAAAAAATCATGTATCTTTTGACCTTTTTTAGACCACATGAGAAGCCTCAAATGAATGTGAGCTTGAAGATCTAGCTGTGTGATTGATATTGTGACTTTTTTTATTTCACACCTTTAGACAATTCCCCTTCACTATATTGCATGAGGTCTTGTCATGTTCACAAGAACAGCCAGTCCAGCATCATGGCCACATCTCTACAGTGGGGTTGTAGGTACTGATCAATGATTTATTTGCCTAGAGGGGAAAAAATAATGGTAAGAGATTGAGACCAAAGGGATCCTAATATTTGTAAGTAGAATAGAAAGGGGAGAAAGAGCCTTCAAGCCATTTCAGTTGGTTTTTGTATGGGGGTGCTACTAGTGGAAGCTTGATGGATTGTATCAAGTGCATTTGGAAATTCCTTGCCATAAAGCATTCCCATTAACCCTTTAAAGCCAGGAATTGTTACTTTGCCCAGTAGCGCTACAGTGGTAGCTTTCAACCACCTGGCACCACAGGGTGAAGGAAAGGCCAGAAAAACCAGCTGCCCCGCCCTTGAGAATGGAGGGTATTTTCCTGCAAGGGATACTGTGCAATGAAGAATCAGGTTCATTCACAGAAGGATCCAATCTCTCTGGCTCTCCATGCAAGTCCTTTTACCACTTCTTTTTTTTTAAATTGTGTTTTCTCTGTTTTATGGTAAAGGCTGCAAACAACAGAGAGTGGGTTTCCCCCTCACCCATGGCCAGCTCTCTCTGGGACCCAGGCCAGTCATTACAGCATGATTTGGTGACTTTGGAATTTGTGAGGGACTGGGAGTTTTCTCTCTTTTCTTAAGTCTGGGCCAACATTTGCCATGTTCAAGGGGATTCAGCCTCCCTGTGTGTCAAACAGATTGCAGCACAAACCCTTTGGTCAAGAGGGCTGACTGCCATTCCACTCCACTCACACACACTCTCCATGTCTTCTGGGAGACAAAAGGCCCCACTTTCCTCCAATTCATGCCAGTACTAACCAGTACAACTCTATTCGCCTCAGTGGCATTATGCCTGATTTACACTGGTGCAAGTGAGAGAGAAATGCAGCTCAGGATCTTCATCTGTATGACTTGCCAAGATTTGCCTTAAATCTAGGTCCCCCAGCAGCACATTGTGCAACCTGCAGAACCCAAACTTAGGAACCCTCTCCTTGTCCTGGTTCTTTCACAGTTAAGATAATCTTCTCCCCTTAGAAATGGCTATGTACCCAGGAGCAGCCAGGAAAGATTTGGCCTACTTGAGCTGGAACATTTCAGGCCACTGAGACAGCCACTCTCCCAAGGCCGCTCTCTCCTCCTATCTATTGCGCTCTGATTTGATTCACTGCTATGGCTGAGGTTCTCCTAATGCTCGGGGTAAATGCTGTGGTCATTGTGCATGGTATGGACAATTCTTAGAGCCATTAAGTGACACTTTAAGTGACAGAACCCAGCTGCCCTGGAGAGGTTTAGTTTTTCTGCCCAGATGGTGTTAATGTATTTTTTTTCCTTTTTAACCCTATGTCATTTGTTTTGATGTTGGGCTTTGTTTGTTTGTTTGTTTCCTTCCTTTTAAGTACTTTTCAAACTTATATATAGATATATATATTTGTGTCACTTTTGTTTTTACGTGTTTTGGAAAACTTGACAAATTGTATTTTTGAGGTTCTTTGCTTCAAATGTATTTTCCTTTCTCCCCCCTCCCCAAGGGCTTGCTTCGGAACAGGGAGCTGATTTCAAAGTGTTTGTACATGCTTATGCTTGTCAATCTTTCAGTTAGATGCAGAACTAGATGGGGCTACAAACCTTGCTCACCTGTCTCCCTGCCCATGGAGAGCCTGGGCTTCGCATTTGTTCATGTAACTATCCATTCCGTGCTGAGAGGCTAATGCAGATAGCCTAAAGCACTTGCAGTTCTGCCCATCTCTTGGAGTACCACAGATGTGAGAGCAACAAGGAGCTTGATAGGGTCCCCTCTGTGCACTAACTACTGCTATGTTGGTGGAGCTGATATCATTCAGTAGTTCCCAACCATGGTTAATGCAGGATTTGGCCTTGCAGCATAGCCAGAACCAAATGATGCTTTAACCATAGTCTAGCCTTGGATTTTAGCAGGATAGCACTGTATTTTAGGAACACAGTTAAAACATGGCTTGTTTCCATCTGTTACGAGACTGAATTGTGTCAGGGTCTGCTGTATTGTAACCAGGGTTTTAATGTGACATGTGGGTGTGGAAGCTTGGAGGACACGTGTGACCGCCAGCTCCGGGACACATCTACAGGAAGCTGCTGTTTTTGCACAGTTTGATTATGTCCCATGCTTCCTGAGAAGCCAGTCACTGTATGGTGTAATTGACCTCCAGAGGGATCAGTAACTCAATGGGAAAGTTAAGGAGGTCCCAGCTGAACACTGCTCCTAGTTCATAGCTTCCCACAGTGTGGCTTGTCCTTCCTGTTATGACTTGTCTGCTCCACCTGGTTCTGAGTGCAGGGAGAGATGGAACACTTGCTTCAGCTTTGCCATCTACCACTTTCTCCCCACATGTGACTGAGATCTTGTACTGCAATCTGCATTGGCTTGGCACTTGTTCCACCAGGCCCAAGGAGATACGGGGCATAGTTTGTGGAAAACAGTGTTAACGGGCCCAGCTTGGACAGGGAACAGTCTCATCTGCTCTCTGCTTACTGACGCTCTTTAATGTACAACTTATCCTCTGATCATCTATCTGCACACACTCCTTTCCCCAACACCATAGCTAGAATTGTCTTATCCTTGCTGCTATTGCCAGTGTTGCTGACACAGTCACTGGATACAAGCCCCTAGGATAGCTTTAAAAATAACTTAAGAAGATTGGAAGGCAGGATGATGGCAGGGGCAGAGGCTGGTGTGGGGAAAGGCAGGATGGGGGCAGGAGATGAGTTAAATTTGTCTGATGCCTCCACATCTAACCTGTGATGAGAGGTCACTCCATATTTGAGAAGTAAATGCCAAAACAAGAGCGGAGCCTTAACTCAGCAAAAGCCCTTCAGAGACAGACCCTCGGACGATTGCTAAGATCCTCTTGGGTGTGGAGATGGGTCTGAGACTGAACCGTAAGCAAAATCTTTTCAAAGTCAGTCTGTGTTTGTGAGGACTGATAGGTTCACACAGGTTAATCTGACAGGAGAGTTCTGGTCTATACAGTTTGTAAATGCCTGAGGAGTAGGGGAGGCAATATCCATAAGCTAGTCAGGATCTATACAAGACAGATACTTGCACAAGAGAGAGAAGGGTTTTGTCTGAGCACAGGCCTGGGATCCAGGAACTCCCGTGTTCTAGTACTGGCTCTGTAGCCTTAGTCTAGTCATTGAGCTCTGTGTGCCTCAGTTTCCCCATCTGTAAAACAACAGGTATAACTATTTACTTGTCTGCTTCCTAGGGACACTGTGAGGCTTAATTCATGACAGTAAAGCACTTCTGGAGGTGGATAGGTGCTAAGTAATTATTATACATGGGTCCATCCTGGGACAGACCTGCCATCTCCAGCTATTTCCCATCAGAGCACACAACATGGTGCAATTCTGATTTTGTGACTGTCTCTGGGAACACCTGGTCCCGTCACAAAATAGGGAGTTTGAATTCTCAGGGCTGCCCCAAGTGTGCTGGCTAGCCTATGCAGATAAATCCTACGGGGCCTTCCTGCTCCACCAGGGTAAAGCTTCCTCAGTGCAACCCTGAGGACATACACACCCCTATGTTAGCTGGAAATTTCAGTTAACCAGAGTGGCACTGAGCAGAGCCAAGTAAGAAAACTAAGACAGGGACTGTCAATGCCAATTGAAATAAGGCTGGAGAGTGATTTCTGAGGCACTCAGAACTAAATGATGTGGCAGACAGACTCCTCTCACAGTATCCTCCCAGGGCTGAGGCTTACCCACTTCCTCTACACAACCTCAATTTTCACTGAATGTTAAACAGTAGGGCAAACGTAACATGAGTGCTTAAATCAGTGATTCTCCGCAAAGACGGCACTGACAAGGGACCCTCCACCTGGAGTTTAGGTAACCTGCACCCTGGCTAGAGGTCTCACTTGTCAGAGACAATGGCATAGCCTTGAGCCTCCAAAGTGCTGAGTGCCCTCCATTCCCATTGCAATCAACAGGAAAGACATTTTACAGTAGGTGTTCAGCCCTTAGCAAGTCTTGTAGGAGCAATAGCCTCTACGTATTGGCCTATCAAGATGTGTAGCCTTAACTAGCAACACCTAATAGCACAAGAATAGTTAATTTGTACAGGGCTAATAAAACAGGTACAGCACAGATAATCTGAGACCATGAACACTTAACACTACTGATAGTTCATCTTCCCCATTCACATTCAACTCTAACTACTCCAGACCCGCTACTGGCCTAACAACTTCCATCCTGGGAACTAAGCACTCCGGTTCCTGTGCTGAAGCACACCCAGCCCTGAAGATTAGGGTATGTACATCCTAACATTTGGTGGTGGTGCAGTGAACACAAAGACAAAAGAGAGGGGTTGTTTTTTTAACCCCTGTTGCCTGGATTAGGCATCTTGTGGGGTCACTTGTTTGGGTCTCTTTCTAGGGAAGTGAGTGCAAGGAGGGTTGCTGACCACACTTTTCTATATGAACCCCTTCCAAACCAATTAGTGGAGCCTCACTTAAGGCAGTCTCAGAGCTGGTTGTGCTGCACTTTCCCTTCAGGAAGATAATTTCTTTGGGGGTGAGGCAGCAGCCACCAGGCTGTGGACACTGGATTAAGATCCCATTTCAAAGAAAATATGTGGCCTCTGGAATGATGCAAAGGAGTTTGCTCAAAGTCAGATGCTAAACGATGGCTTGTGCTGGAAAAGATAG